ATTCTTACAAATGTACCTGTATTCTTTCTGTACCACAAGGGTTGAGAGTTTCCAATGAATGATTCAAGTTAGCTGTGATTTGTGCCATAGGTCACAAAGAAAAGAAAATTTTACTTTAGAAATATTTAGTTTTCCATTGAATTCATTAAATCTGTAAAATTAGACAATCAAGATAGTGTCATGCAAGAATCCAGGTATGAATCGCCATCCTTTCTGGGACGGTATTTCTGCGTACTCGTCTCTGTTCGCTGTTTCAGGGTATAACATCATTTTTGAGTGAGGAGAACAGAGGGATTCGGGGAGTCAGCACTGATGGCTCGCACATGTGGCTGAGGAAAGACAGCTTAGAGGCTGGACCTCAAACAGCAGAGGAAGTCCTCATTCAGGCGGACACAAGTGGATGACTGAGTGAGTAAATATGCTCAAGGTGTTGATACAATGCTGAGTGTGTACGCACAGTCATACACACATCCTCCTGTAAGCAAAGCACTGCATGGGGCTCTTTCAGGCCAAACATAATGTCTGCAACACATATGCAGTTGTGCCTTTAAGAGCTTTGTTTTCATGCTCTATCAATCCACAATGTAGATAGAGGCCGAGAGGATTTAGGAAATGGATTGGGCTCTGAAAACCGTGTTAGAAGATATGTTGTTTTTATCTCGTAGCTTTTGCGGTGTTTAACTTTACAGACTTAAATGTTTAATTTGTCAAATGTGAGCGTTTAGAAGCAGTTTTGGGGCCTTCAAGGTGCAGTTTCAAGATTTTTTTCTCTGCTGCAGCGTCCTGAATAAATTTACCGGTAGACAAAATCTGTCCTTTCTTTCTTTACATTTTAACCTTGTTAATCAGAGTTGTTAGGAATTCCGAGACAAGATAGGGGGCTTGGAAATGCTCAATGTGAAAAAACTTGAGATAAATGTTAAAAATACACAGCTACTTCAAAATCTCACAACAGTGAAGTATTAGTGAAGAAAACATGGTTTTTGGCAATAAACATAGGCATAGTTGCCTGGATTTAAAATAAAAAACATCAGATAGTGCAAAGTAAAACATGTAAAGCTGACACCTTTAACTTCAAAGGTCAATTGAATTATTTTGTTTTTGTGTTTCTTGAAATAATAATCACATGATCAGACCATAGAAAATATTGGCTGGCTAAACTACTCATTTATGTCTATTTAACAAAAGATTTGTATTCAATATTTGTATCTTTTTAATATGTTATATAATCCATGAAAACCACCACTCTTATAATGTCTAAAACGCCTCATAAATAATCAAAAAAAACATTTAGCGAATAAGACAGTTGGTAGGTTTGTAAAAGACTTAACATATAATAAATCTAAAGCTCATAAAGTGCAGCAAAGAATATCTTTGGGGGTAACTTACCATTAGATGCCATCTAAAGCCCAGTGTTTTATTGGGAGAAAGAAAAAAAAAGTCTATTCCATCATAATAAATGTAAACCTGTGAAATTTGATTGATTTTGAGTGGAATAAAGAGCTTTGATTTGTTTAGAGGAAGATTGACCTTGTGTGTTTAGAATATAACTAACCTGGACAAAAAATTTACATATAAGATAACGTCTACAGCCCTCGATTAATTATAGCTGAAGAGTTGTGATGCTGTGGGCCAATTATTCTTTCAAAGGCCTTTAGAACATTGTTTAAATACATGCCATCATGAGGACATGGAAAATCCTGGAACATTTTAACCACGAGGTGGCCTCTGCCAGCAAACTGAAAATGCGTCAGGAGGACTAAGACTTTCCGGCGCGAAGATGAAACAGTACTTTTGGATAACATGGTTGGTTTCCCATAGGTTGCGGTTGTAACTGTGCTCATTAGGCTTTTCCCAAAACAAGCCCTACCGCACCTTCATCCCCATCCTGAGGAGAATGGGCTGAAGTTTTCATGAAGTGGATGAGTAGAGTCCTGGCACTGTCAGAAGACAATATGCTAAAACCTTATTATTGATTTCAGAAAGGTTGGATGAGGGCCGACCAATGAGTTTTCCAGCAGTGCTACAACTTTGCTAGAACTTACAGTCTTTATCATCCCCACATTTTTACATTTTCATTCAGTACTTTGGGGGGTTTAAGCATGATACATGTTTTAAGGTAGTACAACACTTTCTGAAATAGATTTAACTCAGGATTTAGTCAGACCCCTGCAATATGTAATTTGTCTAGGATATCAATAAAAAATGTTTTGGTAAATCTGAGACAGGAGTTTGTTCTTTTGAGTCGGTAGTTTGTCCTGGCCTTATTGTCCTTTGGAAGTCGTGTATGCCCAATTTCTAGTATTAATAGTATAATTTAGGCAAGTTGGGCGAGCAGGGAGATAATATGTTGTAGTGGGTCGTTTTATAACCTCTTAATTGACTGTTTAAGGTATTCTTGGAGCATTTTTGGTTGATTAGCCTCTCTTCTGTATGCTATCGATGATGGCTCTCTCTAAATTCAAGATCTTTTCTGATAATAGATATGGGGACTTTTGTTTTTTACCATTTTCAAATGTTCCTTTTTTTTTCCTTTTAGATAATGCATTGCTTCGGAGATTATTCAGATTTTCCTTTTAAATTATTATATCTGCAGGTCAGGTAACAATCTGACCTGTTTTTTTTTGTTGTTTTTTGTCACTTATATTTTATTATTTTTGATCATACAACGAACATACAAATAAAAAGAAAACAAAGTATATTAACATGAACATGTCTGGGTAGCACCTTCTTTTTAGTTTTTCTGTTTATATAATGTCCATTTTCCCCATTTTTTTTCCATTTGTGGTTCTTGTAGTCTCAGTCTGTGTGCATGTAGTCTAGTAAGTTTATTCATACTTCAGTAGAGTCAATTACTTTTTACCCCAGAGGTCTTTGAAATAAGTAATTATCTAAAAACAGTCAAATTTAAGATTAGCTAGTTGATCTGAAATATTAAAGGTATAGTTGAGGATCTTCTTTTGTAGGTGGATCGTCAAAATAAGTCCTCCTAACTGTCAATAAGTCTATTGATATGTTTATGTAAGGCTGTCCTACGTGCTCATCCCCATTTGAACTTACCGGTGACAGAGTGGAAAAACTGGAAATCTTCTTTTGGAAAGTAAGCTTGTATGAGCGGTACAAACAGCAAATTTTAAACAGAGCATGCACGAGGAGAAATGAGCTCGTGCATGCTCTTGCACACATTTAATAGGTGTTCCCTTTTGGGAGCCGATACAGGGTTTTGCATGTGATTTGGAGAGGGCAGGTCTTTCCAACAATTATCCTCCACTATACCTTTAAGGTGTGACAAGGAGAGCAAAAAACAGAAGACATTTGTAGGAGGGCAGTTCGCTATTAAAGAAAACCTGAAGATAGTCGTCCCATTTGCCTGAACAGCAAAGAGACACTCAACTATTCCTCACTATAAGTGAAATCAAATAACAATCGCGACTTTTCTTCTGCTATATTGTCAGGAAGGGGAGAGAAAGACATGTCTGGTATTGTATTAAGGATAAAGGTTTAAGAAATCACACAGGTCATATATAAAGTTGTCATTTTCATATATTTGTATATATTCATATATTACACATTTAATACAGATACAATCAGAAATCAAAAAAACAGACAGAAATGGCAGAGATATTGGTAAAAATGCGACAATCACTTGCACAATGTAGCTCTTTTAACCTCAATAAACAAACCGATAGGGAGGAAGGGGAGGGGCCTGGAAGATTAAACTTGTTAAAGGTATCCTTGTAGTTTTGTGGGGACAGCAAGAACCAGCTTGCTTATTCCTTAATACGGTTAAAGAAAGTGAGGGATCATTTCTAAAATGTGTTTGTCTACTTTAGGGAAAAAGTGACTTTATTTAAACAAGCTCAAAGCCTGAAGTTGGTTTCTTTTAGACTTGTTTTCTTTTTTATTCAAAGTATATACCAAAAATTGACATGTACCAATAAAATGCACATGAACATTTACACACAAGATTAGTGTCTGCACTTCATTTAACGCTAAAGGGGTCAGCTTGAAGGGTTTTAAAAAAATTAATCAAAATGGGTTTTCATATCTGACATCTGGCTTTTAAATAGAGACACTTAGTGTATTTAATAAGGATATGCTAACAACTCATTGCTAAATATGCTGTGGGCTGCACCGAGCTATGGATTGCAATAGAGAATTAAAAAGTTCACAATTATTCCTCACATCCGAGGAATCAACCATCTGCATGATGCAGTATATGTCACTTTAAATACACCACAGCGATGATCACAACCAGATATATTTTGCAAAAGTTAGAAATTCTCCACCAGGAAGTAAAAAGCCAGAGCCCTCTGTTAGGAAAAAGGTTTCAACAGAGCACCAAGAATCAGCTACTTCTTTTATTCCTGAACCTGCTTCGATTTGAACGGCGGGACAGGCGAGCAAACCGTTGCAGGTTTAATGGCAGCTTGGTGTCACAGTATTTACCCGGAGTCTATGTCAGTCGGTGCAGAGGAGCCCTAGGAAGGCATTTCAATCGTTATTTTAGCCTTTGCTTACACTGACTGGCATGCTGAATAGAGAAGAAACCAAACTAACCTAACATGTTGGGGTTTTAATCAATGAAGGCTAAACAGACTTTTGCTTCACGAAGACAGCTGAGATAAAAACGAATTGACATTTTCCCTTCAATATCCACATTAAGAGAGTAAATAACACACCTGGCACATTGGTGGGGATTTTCTTGTTAATTTCGCTGCAATATAAACAAGTACAAAAAAAACAACAACCATTTATTTAGGCACATTTCTGATTCAAGGCTGCTAGCTCAATTTGGTTTAATGTCCCACGATTTGTGTTTATTTGCCACAGTGATGAATTGAAGACTCTTATTTTAAACATCAGCACTTTAGGTTGTTATCAAAAAATTATCAGGATCTATTTTTAAAAAGACAGCAGGGGTTTTTAATCTCCAACTTCTGGAACCACACCAGTGAATCAGAGCTTATATCTAAAAATCCATCTATGCAGTTTTCATCTTTTTTTTTTTTTTTTTACTTTTGTTCCACAGTACAATATCAGGCACTGAGGCTGGTTTTTTGTTGGTTTTGTGTTTGTTTTTTTGTTTTTTTCATTTTATGAAATCATTAAAACAGTTGGTTTAATATCAAGCTTGTGCCAAAAGTATGTGTCCTGTTGAAGATTAATTTAACCTTCATTGCTTCATTGCACGTTTAAAAACAGGGAAACGTCAGTAAATGGGAGCTGGGTTATTATTTACAGTTTGGCGAGAGCATTTCTTCTCATCCACACACAAAAAATTGGTTTCTCATTCCTTTAAGGCTCTTACAAATGAGTACAAGAGGAAAAAGAGCTTCTGGAAGGGCTGTTAGTGCATTGATTTATTTTTTTTTCCTTTTCAAAATGTCAAATATAATATAAATTTATGGCTAATCGGTACATTTTTTCTGTACAAAACTGATCAGAAGGCATTATTAGAATTTGTATCTACACATTTTCTGAAAGCTCATCTCAGTTTTTTTGTATTTTTTTTTTTTAAACAGTGTTCGTTACTCAGTGCTGTTTTATTGTAGTGAGATTCTTGCTGTGTGAGACCGTGGGCAGAAGTGCTCCGGTGAATCTGGACGTTTCAGCTTTTCTTTTGATCGGTAATCGAAGGTGTCGGTCACCTCAGCAATCTGCCATGTACCGACCTGCAGAGACAAGAATGGGATTTCTTTTAAGCTCTAGAAAAGGAGAAAACATAAGCAACAAAATACATAGTGGTGAAAGTCCTACTGAAAGCTCTTGAAAAAGAGCCACAAACGTCAATGCGGTTTACTGGGAATTTATATGCTAAACCCACTCAGTGATGCAAATCTTTTGGAAAGCATGGCGTACATTTGCATTTCGCACCCTGAGTCGATAATTTGTCTTTTACCGTTTGCGTTTACCAGCTTGCATGTTTCAAGTCCCGCTGGAAGGTCATTGTCAGGAATTTATTTTACTGAAGAAAAAAGAACCCACAGGCATTTGCTGCCACCACCACGTTACAGTGTGGTAGACATCGCATAGAGGAAGTACAGTGGTAGTTCTTTTTGCTCAGAGGCAATAAAGATCCTTCTTCTGAAGAACCTTCTACTAGACTTAAGTTTTGTACCTTCTATGACTTTTTAGCAAACTGGACGTGCACTTTTTCTTGCAACTTCCGGATAATGCTGAGTTGACAACAAACATGTTTTGGGCCTTAAAAAGGCATCCAACTTGGGTACTTGCACAATAAATTCTGCAACGTTGTTGATGCTCTTGATGCGGTGTAGCAAAGTGCTTAAAATGCCTTTGACATGCGTTAGGGGGTGTTGCCATGTTCTCTTCCTTTGCTGGCCTCTTGAGCAAAATGGCAGATACAACAGAGAGAGTGGCTTGTCCTTGATTTACATGAGATTGTGAAAACAGAAGCTTTAAGGTGTTTTTAATTGAGAAAGTACACCTAAAAACATGATCCATTGAGTGAGTTCAACAGGGTTATGATTCTAATTTTAAATATTCTATTGTTGTTCTGAACAGCAAACCTCAGCATATAGCCGGGCGGCAGTGCTGTGAAACCGCAGTAACAATTTCCTCAAACCAGCCTGTCACTCTGCCGGAGCAGAGATCACGGCTTGGGCGCAGTGGCTGCTTCCCAGCCGGCTCCCAGATCCGCTTGTATCATTGGGTGACGCAACCATATCAGGATGCAAAGTTAACATTTTGCAACTGTTGTGTCTGCAAATTTGGACAGGTGTCAAGGCTTGCGACATGCTGGAGCACCTAACAACACCTTTAGACCCGCATCCATCATAGAGTGTGTGGTAGACAAACACGCTTTGAGGCAATGACCCTCAAAATGTGTGAACGCACCGTTAATGTCAAATGTGCAGAACACAACATCAGGCTCTCCGCTGTTTTACAGATTGATATCTTCTTTAGCTTGTTAGCCAGGTTAGGAAAACCTACCAAAATTCGGCTATCCACCTGGGACAGTGGCGTCGGGTGTAGGATTTTGCCCTGAAATCGAAGGGTTGGCAGTTCAAGCCCCGGCTCAAGCTTTCAGTGTCGCTGAGTAATAGGGTAAGACACTTCATCACCAGCATTGGGTACTGATGGTGGTCAGAGGGCCCGGTGGCGCCAGTATACGGCAGCCTCACTTCTGTAAGTGAGCCGCAGGGCAGCTGTGGCTACAGTGTAGCTTGCCACCGTGAGTGTGTGCATGAGGGGGTGAATGACTGAATGTAGTGTAAAGCGCTTTGAAGTCTCCTGACTTAAAAAGGCGCTATATAAGTACAGACCATTTACCACCTCAACTGCTGAGCTCTTTGGTCTTCATGATGAAATGGTTCTCTGATTTCCCTTTCATTATGGATACGCAGATTTCTGAAGCTTATTAGTGGTTCTGAATTTTATCACCGGGTATCTGAGCAAAAACCAGCTTCCCAACTCTAAGCCTAAAATCCCAATTAAATAGTGTAATGTTTGTAAAGCACTGCACCTGTGGCAAATCTCTTCTTGTTGAGGGAAAGTCTGTATCCGGTCCCCAGCAGGTCCATGTCGACTCCTGACAGGGTGCTGCCCTCGTTCATGAACTGCACCGCCAGCGTGGAAGGGTTTGAAGGACCATTCGACAGCTCAAACTTGGCTCTTAAGGCACCTGATGCCAGAAAAACAATACTTTTCTTAGAACGGTAGAGATTTGAATTTTTTTGCACTTTTTGTGCATAAAAGAAAAAATGAATAAATAAATCCTTCATCACCTTCATTTTCAGACTTTTCTGAGATGTCACTAAGCTTCCACAGACACTTATTCTGCTCTGAATTCCTGAAATGTACAAGAGAGATTACACCTGAAGCTCTATTGAAAAAGAGAGATGAATGTCAGTGGGTCAGACTGTGCTCCTGGAGGGACACCATTTACTGATTCTCACCAGATGCAGTTTGGTAAAGCCTGCATGCTGGTGACTCCTCCGTCAACAGGAACCAAAACCTGAACGTTGGTGATGGGGCCAGGCGAGTCCATGGAATTGGGGTTGTAGCGGTAGTCTAGCCGCAGGTCTGTTGTGCTCGGCGTACACTTCCAGTACACGGCCAGGTTAAGAGGAGTGGACTGAATCCCATCGGACAGCACCTGAACACAAACAGGGTAATGCATAAAACCTTCAACCTTTGGGTCTGACCTAGAGGAAAGGACATAAAGGGAGAAATATATCACTTCCCCAATGTTACAAGAAGTTATATTAGATCTGACTATTGGACTATCTGATAAAATAGGAAAATATTATGCATATAAATCCAACTTTATTAAAAAAACAAAATACACTGACTGGATATAGATCGGCCTGAGAAAGGGGTGCTACAAATTATAGCTAAGGGTGGCAACTGAACCCCACATTTCCCCAAAGCTGGAGACCTATTTAATGACAGAGCAGTAAAAGCAGGCAAAGATTTGCAAAGCAATATATTCAACATATTAAACTCTGCTCCACAACTGCTGCCTTGACACATGGGAGGCGATGAGAGAAACAGAATGTCTCCCATTGAGTGGAACGTACATTTTAAAGCAAAGCTATATTCTCCAGTTGTTTAGTTTCTACTCTGCTTCTCATTCAGAAAAACAATGTATCATAGAGACTAAAATGATTTGATCCAATTTAATAGTAATTCTGATTACGATAGACAGCCTAGCTGAATACAATTTTTTTTTTTTTATATAAACAAAGAAACATAAAAAACTAAATTAAAAAACTAAAACCAGTTTTAAACTCTTAACTAATTAAATCCTTGGAAAAAGAAATTAAATAGCTGCAATCCACGCACATTTTAGGCCAAAAGGCAGATTTAAGAAGCAGATTTAGGTTTAAATGTATTTACAGTCAACTAAGAAGTTTTGAAAAAAAAAAAAAAAAAAGCAGACACATTTTAAAACATATATAAAGAACATCAGAACAGCATAAGAAAATATTATATACAAATATTTTTTTTATGTTTTAACAATAAATGTCAAAAATTATTTAGAAACGATCAATAGGAATTTTCTTTTGGGTATTAAAACAATAAAACTCTTTCTTTAGATGATTTATCTTTGGTGATAAATGTCTAAAGTTAGAAGGCCTCCAGTCATCACTCTGATCTTTATCTCCCTTCACAGATTCAGTTTCAAGTCTTGACTCCAGAACATTAATAATAAACTGAGTCAGAAGAAACATGTTTGTGAGGTTTTTGCCAAACAAGTTAAGTCCTCAACATGTGATGGTGACAAATTCACCATCAAATGAACATGTAGCAATAATGACCCCTTTCTAGCTGCAAGGACAAGCTACTCCTGTTTAAATGGAGACGACGTGACTACAGAAGAGGTTTATGGTCGATTACAGACGCTATGTTGAGAAAAAGAAGGGCACTTATTAATCTGAATAGGAACCGCATCCTGTTTTTAAACCTTCTGGTGGCAGACTCATAGATTGGGCCTCTTTTACCGCATAAAAAGTTGTTTCCTTCACTGATAGAACAGAACGTTCAGAGTTATTTAGGTAAATTGTGAAGGAATACAGCTTTGAAGGGCTGCACTTCATCCGTATGAGCTGGGCTTGTTCTCTGTGGCTGCAGTGTTTCATTCTTCAAAGAGCTTCAGAACTCCAGACCACATAGGTCCTCGTGCTGCAGCATTTGTCACTTTAGTAACAAGCACACTCACATTTCTGAGCAAGCAGACAGTATTTTTTTAAACACCACAAAGGAAAAAAATATGTGTTGAGGACAGGCTGTAAGGAGCAAATACAGAACATTTTACTTTTCTCTCGCAGCTCTGGGAAAACGAACAAATATCTCGGTTTTTACAGGGGATTTGTTTTGAGTGCATTTTGACAGAAAAAAAAGGAGTGCAAAACATATTTCCTTTCCAACTAAGGGAGCTCATGTCTCACTTAGCTATGGATTCAAGAAGCCAACAGTGGTTTGCCTAAAAACATGGGTCTCAGTCTGCTTCAATTGAATCAAATGCAGGAAGCAGTGCTTTAAAAGCAAGATAAAAAACTCAAACCACTGGTTACTCCTCAGAGGAACAATAAAGTTTGAAAGCTAATAAATGGATGACTAAAGAAAAAGCTTGAAAGGATAAGCAGATCAGGAGTCAAAAAAGGAAAAATCTGTTTGGTTTTCATTTTAAGCACACTCAGACCCAACTTTGGTGAAGAGCGGAATAGATAATTAATAAAGTTTGATTTGTTTGTCAAACTGGGTACAAACTCAGGCCGGCATGAACTTCAAACCCAAGTCAACAACAGGATTGAGAGCCTCATTTACACCGAGCACTAGCAATGATTAAATAAGGCTCTTTAGATTTTACATATACTGGGTTTATACAGGAATAACCAACTCTAATTTAAAGCTTTTTAATGCTCTTAGAAATAATTTTAATGCCATCAACAAGTACCCATGACTCTCATATATACATGGCAAATTCATTCTTCATCTTTACCATCGGCATGCTGCAATTCCTCAATTTCCAGACACCTTTGTTTTTCTCCGCTTTGAGCTTCTTTTCCGAACCGGCTTTACAATCAACCGGAAGCAGTTCTCCACAAATATGCAAATATATTGCAATGTATTTGCATATTTGCAAATATATATATCGTTTAAAAATGTGTTTTTATAAAAAAGCATTTTTTCAAAATAAAGCATTTTAAATGCCAAAATAATCACATTTTATTAATTTTAACGCCAATTCAGGCCTTAATTTAAAAAAATTATTATTTAATGACTTAATTACTTTTAACCACCCGCGGGAAAACCCTGATTTAGATGCTGAGTGGATATGCAATGACAGCTGTGAGTTTGACCAAGGTTTAAAGGGATAGTTCGGTATTTTTGACATGAATCTGTATGGCATCCCGATCACCAGCGGCATGCAATCACACTGACTTACCCCTGGCAGCGTCCTGTGAGCAGAGTTATCGTCCAGTTTTGGTCAAGCCGAAAGTAGTCCTGCAGGTTTTTAGGAACAGCGAAATAAAACTTTTCTCTTCCCAAAACATTATGTGTCCAAAAGAGTGATATTTTCGCATCCCAAAAACATTGTAGTGGAAAAAGTCACACGTCGTTATCAATTGGTCCTATTTTCTCTCTGTTCGTATCAGTGCGCGCCGTCATTCAGACAGCGAGCCCAACAACAGCCATGTCTCCTTCCGCGGCGGAGGGAGACATGGCTGTTGTTGGGCTCGCTGTCTGAATGACGGCGCGCACTGATACGAACAGAGAGAAAATAGGACCAATTGATAACGACGTGTGACTTTTTCCACTACAATGTTTTTGGGATGCGAAAATATCACTCTTTTGGACACATAATGTTTTGGGAAGAGAAAAGTTTTATTTCGCTGTTCCTAAAAACCTGCAGGACTACTTTCGGCTTGACCAAAACTGGACGATAACTCTGCTCACAGGACGCTGCCAGGGGTAAGTCAGTGTGATTGCATGCCGCTGGTGATCGGGATGCCATACAGATTCATGTCAAAAATACCGAACTATCCCTTTAAGATATCTGTAGAAGTTACTTTGGTTTTTGCACTATTGCAGTTCCTATGCAGGCCCATAGGGGTAAGCACCAACACTAACACAGCACAGAACAAGTTGCATGTCTTACATTAAAAATGCTAATTGCCCGAGTTACCTCTATTTCAACTTTTGAGCCTCATGCTCAAACTCTATTTGCCTCCAACTTGCCCCCAGACTTAAGGATTGAAAGAATAAAACACCATAACAAAGCATTCTTTAAACAACAGTTTCTTCATCTGGATTAAGTTCTTGGACCAATTCTGGCCGACCGACCTGGTATTTTAGGATATCCACATTATAGTAGGAAGCTGAAGGGTTCTGCTCAGAGGCTTTTCTGAGGTAAGACGTCAGGGCTTGCATGTTGAACCAGAAGTCCTTGGAATTGGAGTCGCTTCGGGAAGGATCGCTAGATAAAAGGGAAACAGAAAGAGGAAAACAGACAGGGAATAATCAGAGGCTCAATTACGCATCGCTCTTCTTGGCTTTGTGTGTAAAGCTCCAACAGCTTGGAAAATCTGACCCTGTTATATTTAACCAGCTACTAAATCATGAACTCGGGTTGATTTAATTAGTTCAGCCATGTGGTCGAAGATAACTGGAAGGGAACAGAGTGAGAATAAAAAATAAGAGAAGATGCTTTTATTGCTTTGCTAAAAAAAACAAAAATTGGTAAAAAAAAAATAGTGTCTTTTCTTAAGTCACCCTGTGTGGGAAGTAAAATAACTTTCTCTACAGCTAATGAGGTGAGAAATAAAACAACATGCTTAATGGATGAAGTGCTGAAGGATGCAGCTGCTTTATGAAGTGTTCAGGGTGTCTTTCAGAAGAGGCACGGACAGTTGAGAACCTGGCTGTGAAAGACTAGTGGAACATTTTTCCCTGACAGCTTAATGATAGCTTTATGTCAGATTACTAATTGAATTTCCTTTCATCGGTGCAGGCTATATTTTCTGGATTCATACTGGTATGACCAAATCGTTCTTTCACTCGGCCATGACTCTGTTGGTATGACCTCATCAGCTGCTCAGGTTCTGGTGCTCCAGCCCGTGATAATAAAGCATAAAGTACCTGTATAAGAGCTGTTGGTTGGGCAGGATCTGCTCCAGCCTGCTGGTGTTTTTCAGCTTGAAGGTGAGGACAGCGGGGGAGGGGTTGTTGGTGAACACCTTGATGATGCCCATGGGGAACGAGAGCGTCATGTCTCCTGTGATCTTCACAATGCACCTGTGGAGCAAAGAGAACAGTTTTATGTATTTATTTTTTCTTATACATCTTCCGTCCAGCTTTGCTGTATTTCTTAGCAGTTTTGCTTAACTGGAAAAGCCACTGACTGTGTTTGATAAAATAGTTGACCTGGATTCTCTTTCTTTTTTTAAACCTGTAACTTTTGGGTCAAGCTTTTTTTTCTGGATGAAGTCATCCAGAGAGTTTCTCCTGGAAAAGCCTCTCCGTCTCCCTCCCCTGCTTGCTTTTTATCCCACTGCTTTTGGGTTTAGCAGTGTGTCTTTTCTGGATGAAGTCCTTCAGTGAGCGTTTGATGAACTCTCCTCTGCTGCTTTTTTTTTTTTTTTTTTTTGCTATAAAGCTATGTCTCTTCCCTGAATGGAGCCTTTGATTGAGCTACTTCCAGAGTGTTGACATCTGAGTCAAAGAATCCATAACTTGAGCGTGACTTGGTTATTTTAGAAAAGACTTTCAAATTGACTCCGACTTGAATACTGATGACTTGGGCTGGAGCATCTTTAATTAAAATTAGCTAATGCTCCCATTAGTCACAGTTTATCTCATAAAATGTGATTTTATATTGTTTGTTTCCTCATGTCATTAGGAGCTAAAGATTACTTTCTTTTTATATTTATAGGGCATTTTGATATTTACTCTAAAATTAGTCTTTCTGGTGAAATAAAGGTTATAAAAAAACACAACATTTCAGGGAGAGATCACTATGACTTGGTATTCGCTAGTTTTGACTTGAAATTATTGGCTACTGTTGCTAATTCCAATGTGTTTTTCTTTTTTCCCCACAGAAAGTAATCCTAAACCTCATAGTTTTACCCCAGGATGTGTTTCTATTCAATTTGAAGTCATTGCCTGATAACTCTAAATAACGTGTGCATTCGCCTTATTTTTATCTTCCTTAAAAATTTCTCCGTGGAACAGCATATCTTTGTTTTTATTTTCCAGTCAATCGTTTCCTGTCCCCTCAAACGCCACCTGGCTGCAGCAGATTGTCTCTGATACTGAGCCTGCTTCTGCTGTGGGTTTCCTTCAGTTAAAACTAAGTAGTTCCTCTCCACTGTTGATCTCTGATCCACAGGATCAGAGATTCCTGCAATTTCAATAACTTGATGCCATTTCATTGGCTCAGCTAATTTAGAAAGATAGCATAAGTACAAAATTGAATTAAATAATCAAATTAATATATTGCACAGCGTTAAGAGTTCAGGTCAAAGGGGGACTGTAGATAAAATGAGCCAAAATGGATCTTATTGGTTCTCTATTAACTTTGAGTAGAAATCTGATTTTATATTTGAAATGTTGACGCTATTTGATGGGAATGACTTGAACTTAAGAGTTTTAAAAAGTTTTGCATCTTTGGTTCAGACTGAAACTTTATTACAATCCATCAATGCATCAATAAGATGCATCCAAATAGAGTAAAACTCAATTAAATAAGAACCAATCGAAGCGCGCTGTACTTTTTTGGACTTATGAGAGTCAGCGCACTAATCCTCTGACGTAACAAGTTTAGTTATTTGCTTTACCTCAAACCGTGTGGTTGATTTAGTGAGTATATAATATTCTGTACATCTGCATGCCTCAGTGGTGTGATGTCAATCATTAGTAGTGGAGGTACTGGCTGCGGTGCTAGTGGTCCGCAGTGGCTCTCAACTTTGCTGCGCTGCCTATGAAATGTTCCATTTGCTAATCCCTGGAAAAATAAGCCTTCTGCAGAGCAGCAATTTAGCAGCAGTTAACCAATAAAAGACTGTATGTTTGCTCTGCCCCAGACTATAATCTGCCTCGTGTAGGTTATCCATCCTGAAAGAATGGTGTCAGACTCACGCAAAGCATTCCATACGTGCACAGCGAGGGGGGAGATACTGTGCAGAAGGGCTGCTGGAGGTGTGAAGAGTACAAATGGCTGAAGAATCTACAGCATATAGAGACTATAAACTGTAAAGCTTATTTGTAAAGAAATCAAACATGGATACTTGCAGATTGGTATCATGGCCTTGGGGTGTCATGTGAGACTCACTTAGCAGGATCAGCTCCTTTGAAGTAAGCATTAACGGTTTCTGTGAAGGCCACGGCAATGGGCAAAGCATCTTGGGATGCCAGGGTCACTGGACTCGGACCGCGAGACGTCCCTGAGAAAGAGAAGAGCTCGGATTAAGAGGGGTGTTTTCTCAGCGGCTGATGAGACTTTAGAAGCAAACAGAATTAATAAAGGTTGATCACGCTGAAGCACTTAAAAAAAATCATAAATGTGCAAAAAGGTACAGGGTTAGATAAAAAGGCAGCTTTTATTTCCAAGTCAAAAACATTAGGAGCATTTGTTGCACATTAGAATACTAATAAAGACAAAAATAATTTGCATTTTTAGGTTATTTTATTACATGAATTGATGAAAAAACAAGCATAAATTTGGAGAAAAAGAGCAACTAAGCAACATATTTAGCTGCAAGCTCATTCTGTTTAAAAGCGGATTGCTGTTAGTTGTTTTTCGTTAAACACAAAGGAGCGTCCTCCAGTGAGAACTTCATCCATACCTGCTGGTGTTTCACACCGCTTCTCAAAGGCAGGCAGCTTGTCTACAAACCCGTCGTCCTCTTTAGGCCACATTAAAGGCAGAAAGAGGAAGAGAGGAAATACACAAACCCAGAGGGCGCAGCGTGAGGAGATGTGATGCTGAGCAAGTTTCAAGACAGTTTCTAAAAGTGTGATGGTGGTGGAGATGAGGTGAGGCCCTAACGAGCACGTCTGATAAGACACAGAGATGTACACCAAAGAACAAAGATAACACAAAGTACTGGGAATGAAAGTCTTTAATGAACACTCATCTCGCCAGCAACACTGTGCTGCGAGTTCTCTGTGATCTTTAGCTCATCTACAGCTTTCTTAGGGGGAGATTGGCAGCTTTGGTGTTTAGTTCAGACCACGTACAAGATGGAAAACACAGCAGAAAGACCACTACATTTTTTCCACATGTTAAATACAAAGCCACAGGTACCCAGCACCAAACCCCCAACTTGTTCTCATATATTGGCTGCATATACAGAAAATCGAAAGGTACCACAGTCACAGGCAGAAAAATATATTTACTGTCAACCAATGAGTTAATCCTTATAAAGCTATCAAAGGATATATTTCTAAATGCACATGGCTCCCTGGGAATAAATAGGCTACAAACTTTACTTTTGCCTTTGCTATTTATGCTAAATATGCATTAAAAAGTCTCACAATAAATGTGTTAAAAAGGCGGTTCTAAATGGTTTACTCCTGTGGACTCAGACATAAAAATTTTTGTTTTTTGTTTCATTTGAATCAATTTGGCCACAAGCTTTAGATCATTATTTAGCTAGAGGGAGACAAATAAAAAAAATAATAATTTTTACTCTACCTGTCAACTGTGTATTTTATGTTGCTGCTTTTATTCTGATACTTTGTTTCTACTTTTAATTATCAACTTATTTGTCAATAAGAATTTCAATTTTTTTCTTAATTAATCCCTTTTATTCAGCACTGGTGTCAGCTGTTTTCAAAGAGCTACTTAAATAAAGTTGGCCTTTCATTTCAAAGAGTTCACGATGATGTTTACGTTAACAAGACTTGTGGGGTTTTTACAAGAAAAAAAGCCCCACAGCATCACTGATCCTATACCGTACGTAACAGTGAGCATTAGGTGTTTTTTTTTTTTTTACAGTTATCCTTTCTTTCATGTCAAACCTTGATAGAGTATCTGCTATCAAAACATTGAGTCTCTAATCAAAGAAATTTAGATTTTCTGGTGGTAAATTGAGGAGTAAATTTTTGATGTGGATATATATTTTTTAAGATTGTGACTACAATAGGTTAAGTCATTGAGTATACATTTATTCCCTATAATTTAATCTATTTAAAATTGGCTTGTTATTCTTTTGATGTTTTTAAGTTTGCTAGGGAAAGAAATATACATTTAAGGCTTTAACACAACTATACCAGTAGCGGTTATTATGCACTTCACTCTCTGCTGGACTTTTAAATGAAAAGGAGCCAAAGTCCAAATAAAACCCTCAAATTCTCTCAACTTTTTTTTCTTCATGTAAACAGATATAGTTGGTTCCAGGCTTTTTACATTTGGATTAAGCACCATCACTGAGATGCATCCAGAGAGAGACATTTATAGTTAGAATCAGAGAGGAAAAGAGGAATCTCATGTTTGAAAAGCCAGACTCACTTTGGTTTAAAAGGACATGAGGAGAGAAGGTGCTGAGATCTGACCCTGAGCAGGAGAGGGGAGGAACTCCTGTGAGAAGAGGAAGGAAGGATAAAAGGCGAGGAAAAAAAGCAGTATAGAACAGCACATTAAGGTGAGGAGAGAAAAGTGCAGTTCAGAAAGGGGTTTAGACAAAGGAGATAGAGGGAGATTTTCTAATAAGTGAGCAGTGAAGAAAATGATCCTACCGACGGTGGGAGTGTTCCCGGCACTGAGTGACGTGTTTGAGGACAAGGAGGAAGAACTTTCAGCCCGGGCCAGGGGTGCTGATAGAGGGGGGCTGGCATTGGATGCTTTGGGTGGGCTGAAAGGCCGTACCTGAAGGAATCGGGGGGGAAAAAATAATTTAAAAAAAAAAGAAGAAAAGAGTGCACTTTTAACACCAGGAAAATTGTGCACAATACCTGTACTCAATGTAAACATGTTAAAGTGAGAAAAAAAAATGTCATCACATGATTAATTAAATTAATGAAACTATCTACAGTTTCAATAAATAAAAGAATCTAGGAGAGATAAAATAAAGATGTAAGTATCGTGCAGGTAACATGCAGCAACTATTTTTTCCGGCGCCTTAAACCAAAGGCAGCTGTAAAGAAATGTTAAAATTAAAACTAACAGAGAGACACGAAGCATAAGAAGGCTTTTCATGTCACACCTTTCAAAGTGTATAACAGAAACGCCACTGAGAAACACGGGTCAGGCTGAGGTAAAAAGGCCTCGACACTTTTAGAAAAACACTTTACTGCTGGGGACCAGCCACACAACGACAACGTAAAGCTCTACAATCAGAGGAATGGAAATGAAAATCTTAACAGGTTGTCACTTAAAGCGGGAGTGAGTGTCTCTCTTCAACTGCAAAGCACAGGGAAAGGGGCATAATAGAGGCAGTAAAATAGTCATGCTAATGGTAGCTTAAACAATGCAAAGTAGAGTTTGTCTCATTCCCCTCATAGTCCCTGACCGACTTAGTTTAAAATTTGTTGACAAATAGGATTATATGGAAGGCAGCCCAGGGATCTCAATAAGCCTTTTCAGCTAGGATTTGACAAATATACCCCAAACAAAAACTGAGCTGCAACACAGCTGAAAACAGGCAGCGGCACTTGCCAAAAGGAGTATTAGTGAGTTGGCTCAAACTTGAAAATGTGTGATTTGTAAAGTCACGCCATTGAAAAATCTGGAAATCTTTTGCTCCATTGCCCAAACTACCAAAGGAGGGGGCACAGAAATACACTCCGGATCAAAATCTTAAGACCTGTTAAAAAAATTGCATGAATTTGTTTTTAAGAAATTGCCTTCTCAAAGATGTTGGTCTGTTGTTCCCATTTCTTTTTTTTTCATTTTGAAGCTTTACTTTAAACATTCTTAGGATCCACCATTGCAAAATGAAAATTCATGCACTTTTTTTTTTAAACTGGTCTTGAGATTTTTGATCAGGATTGTATGTGCAGTGGTATGATTACGTACAATTTCATTGATTCCTGTGAGTTTTCCAGTGGGAAGTTTGGGTCTAGAGGAAGGACGTGGTGGTGGAACAAGGGCTCCAGCAGCCAGAGGGGTCGTAGGTCTGTTTGGTACCGGCACTAGACAGAAAAAACACAATCTGGTTAGAGAGTCCGAGTTCATTTAGAGGAACACAAATAAAGGTATATGTTCAGTTGGCTGTTGAATGTTCATGCAATACAAAGTCGTGTTCCAAAAAGAAAGAAGCAAAAAAACTAAATGATGCAATAAAATGAGGAAAATGCATTCCAAAATAAATGTTATCCCAAAAACATCCAAAACCAACTTTGCATTTGATGTAGCAAAAAGAAAAAAGAGCATCAGCAAAAGAGAAAAAAGTAAAAAATAAACAGAAAATCAAAACGCATGTCGCTTTCGATTTTCAGGCAAAACCAAATAAAAAACTGCACTTTAAACCTCAGGCATAACAAGGCATGTCTGGTATATCAGCATAACTGTTACCATTAAATACTTTGCTTGTTGTGGCTGCTGCTACTGTCCTATCAGAGAAGACATCAGAGACACAGACGCTGCTGTCCTCTCTGACTGCTGCAGTGGTTGTTTTGCAGAGAGCGTCTGCAGAGTCCTCCGACAGGAAGCGTCTTGACCTGCCAAACCCTGCCTGCACTGTCTGGACCTCTGCTGCAGAAGAACCTGAGCCGTGACGACAAGGCGGGGCAAAGCTATCCCCAAAAGCGATCCACTGGCTCTGGGACCAGGACACTAGGGAGAAGATATCAACAGACTTGGGGGCGTTTGGGGGGCTGGCAGTGGTTGGGCTGTTCATAGGGTCTATAGGCTCAGTGGGCTGGGTGATGGGGGCGCTTCGGGCCCTCTCCTGTGCTGGTTTCAGTCCCTGGGAAGCGTTTTCTGGGGAATCCCAGGGAGAGGTGGTGGATGAAGAGAAAGAGGAGACATCTTTGGACTGCTGGCTCTCTGCCACTGGGGTAGAGCGGCCTTTTTGTGGCACATTGTCAACTGAAGGAAGATATGTGATTGACATTGGCGTTACAAGGAAAAACAAACAAAAAAAAGTGGACCGAATGAATTTATTTTACACTTTTTCACCCAAAGGACATTACAAAAACAATCACAACACAGATAATAACTTTAAGCTATTAAAAAAAACAAATTTGGAGTTTTTAAAGGTAAAATACACTCATTGTTAATTTCCAATATAAAGGGAATGGTGAGACATTTGTTATTCATTTAGTAAATATTAGATTTTATAGGTTCAATCTATTGGATTTTAAAGACAAATTAGAAGAACTGATTCCGGGTAAGAATGAGATGTGCTCAGGTTTGTGCTCAAACTGTATTATTGGGGATAAAGTTCTACTTTTAATGCTATTTTGCAATCTTACCTACTTAATTTGCTATACAATCATCTGCCGAAATTTTAACTCTCTATACAAAGTGTACGCTTGCCAAGTGGCCAAATATCCATTCACAGAGTTACTCAGAAATCAGAAAACAATGACATCAACAAGAGTAATTTCAAGCATTCAGGGGCTGAGGTTAGTTAGTCTATATCTGTGAAGATGTCTGCTGAATGAACTAGAACACTGAAAACGGTTATCAGCCCATCGCTGCAGCATTTAGGTAATTGTGGTGTCTCAGGGTTTTAACGCTTTTTTACATGCTTTACAAATGCATTTGCTGCCATTATTATAGAGGTATTATGTGAAGGAAGGTTATGTTGAAATATTATTTCCCGAAGAAGCATTTCCCCCTTTCCTATGTGGCAAAATCCCATATTTGGGTGCTTCAATCCTCCCATCAGCATCTCCTGGAACATCAACTCAATGTTAATCTTTCTATATCACAACATAAAAAATAAATTAGCATTTGTCCCATACTTTTTTGTGTAAACTGGTTTATTCATACATCTTCTTTCAAAGACGAAGGGTAATCTCTGTAAAATCAAGTAACATGCTTTTAGATATACTTCAAAAAGTTAAAATCAACGTGTTACTATGTCACTGATTATGTGTCAGGGGGCAGGATATAATGTTATGATGGATTTGAAGAAAAAAAAAAGCACTGAAAATATTAAAATCCAGAAAAAATATTACAAAACATTTACAAAAAGTTATTTTTTGAGGAATGCCTCACGCTCAGGTTAATATAAAGGAGCACACACATTTTACCTGGTGCCTCTGGGAGAAAGACCTCAGAGTCATTCATCAGAAAAGATGGAGATGGAGGGATTGGAAAGAACAAAGAAGCAAGGTCTGACAGGGACAGGTGAGAGGAAAATAAAAACAAACAGCAAGTGACTCAAACGCAAACAAATCAAATCAGAACATTGATCTTATATCACAACATTTAAGTACAAATACAATTCAATTAAAATAAAAAATATCTAATTCAGTCATCTTACACTACAGGAGGCCTTTAAAGCCGAGACCTTTGACAGTAATGAGACTTTGTTTGACAACATCGTGCCTGTGGGCTTTATAGCCGACCCGCTGACCTCGACTAGGTGCCAATTAACTGTGGATTATGTTTAACCTGGGTAATGGGTCAGTGCTAATGTCACTCTGTTTAAACGCTGGTGTCAGGCATTTAAAGCATGAGAAACATGTTCAATACTATATGTAACGGGAGGCATATTCAGGGTCTGACTGTTCATTGTTGGTAGAAGCCGGAAAACAGTCCGCGGCTGAAAACTTTTGTGAATACTGTAAATAGATGAACAATTTAACGGTTGAGTTCCGAACAAATATAAAAAGGAACAAAAATGGAAAATTCTATATTTATTATGTTTTTTTTTCAAGACTTACTGATTGATTTCACTTTGTCATTTATTAAAAGAAACATCTGCAGTTGGTCGGACTTTTTTTTTTTTTGACCTTTTCTCAATTCTCAGTGTTTAAAATTATAGTCTGCTGAACAAACAAAACATAATTAAATTATCAGTTACTATTAAAATAACCATAACCTTTAACTTTTTAACTATAAGAATGTGTAACACCTTTTTTTTTTGGTTGTTTTTTTTTCTTTTTGCCAACTTCTCTATTGTATTTAACCACTCATTACACAAGTTCATTTGTAAAAAAAAAAAAAAAAAAAAAAGGATATATCTGGCAACATGTAAAACTGTAATATAATTTTAATCTTGGATCAGTAAAAATATTAAATGGGATTTCCTTTTAACAACTTTAATTTTAAATGACAGGGAAGAACCGAGAGTGTTTAGGTGAAAATCTATTAGGGAACATAGATCTAATAAACAAATTAGAGGGCCTTTGTTTATGCCTGTTCAGGCAATTAACTTTAGCGAAGTAAACTCCAGGTGTGTAGAATTTAGGGTTGTCAAAAGTATCGATACTCAAAAAAGTATCGATACTGAAACGTTGTATCCGGATACAATACTCGTTTTTAAAAGTATCGATACAGTGCTACCACCAGTGGCACCTAAGCAGTCATTCATCTAAAGTGCAAAATAGTGGAAAATGCACTTTCAGAACACTGTGTGATTGAATAATTCTACGCACTTTTCAGTTTCAGACTTTTGTTTTGTAAGTGGTGCAGCTGCTGAGAATTATTTTTGTTTCTTAACCGGTTTGGCTAGTGTCATTGCTATGTGTGCAAAGCATAGCCAAGGAAGGAACACTTAATTTTAATTTTATAAGTTTTTTTATCAAGCTTGCTTAAAATTGTGCACAGCATACAACCTTTATTGTTTTTATTTATTGTATTTTATTTAGTAATGAAAATATTTCTGTAGAATTTTGAAGTCTTTGTTTTTATCCTTGTGGTATCGAAAATGGTATCGAGTATCGAATATTTTCCTTAGTATCTGTATCGAGTTGAAAAGTTTAGTATCGTGACAACCCTAGTAGAATTACAGCTAAATAGCGAACAAATGAACTTCAAAGAACTAAAAGAAAGCAGAAAGGTTAAGGGGAACATTTACAGTTCTGGTCCTGTAGTGTAAGATGACTGACATACTGTCATAAATGGCGCTGAAGGTTCTGGAATGTGACTTGAAGGAGAAAAAAAAGAGAGACAAAGAATAGAAAAGTCAGAGGAAGACGGTGAGAATCTAAATCAGAGAGTTCTAGATTACCATAAATTGGAAAAAATCGTTCCCAGCAGCTGTCATAAAACAAACTTCTTAGATGTGTCAAGTATTTTTCAGAGCCAAACTGCCACCAACAGATGAAATGAAACTTCTGGGAATGTTCACGAATGAGCCAGGAACCATCCAGCCTGCCATGAATCTAAACTGCTGTTCTGTTCCAAATTCAACTCTTTCAACCCCGAGTAAAACCTACAGCAGTTAACAAGATCAAAATCCAAGTTCTTCAGACACATCAGATTTCAGACAAGAACTCGACTGAGTTGTTGAGCTACGACTAGGGATGGGAATCGAAAACCGGTTCCTGTTCAGAACCGGTTCCGTATTTTCCGATTCCATGGCATCGTTTGGCAGCTCGCTGAACGATTCTTTTTTCGATTCCCGCAGCACCAGAGCCTAGAGCGCCGGCTCTGGGGAGCATGACTTACGTCACGTTTTTTACGTACGTTACGTAAGTTACGCAAGTTACGCAATTTGGAAATAACTATTCGAGGAGGAAGACAGCGAGCTGCGGTCACTTTTTGAATCAAAGCCCCGTCTTTCCTTAGCCCAGAGGGTAGATCAGGAAATCCAGCTCTATAAAAGCTTGCCCTCCATCCCCTGCAGGGATAGCGCCACACTGTGGTGGTGGAACAAGCAAGATACGCTGCCCTTGCTATCTGGACTGGCTGAAAACTACCTCTGTGTGCAGGCTTCCTGCACCCCATCTGAGAGGGTGTTCTCCACGGCTGGAGACACCATAAGCCCTGAAAGATCCTGTATCCTTCCAGAAAAAGCAGATATGCTCATCTTTCTGCAAAAGAACTGTTAATTTTCCCTACTAATTTTTTATAATTATTATTTTTTGTTATTTAAAATAGGTTATTATCCCATCATTTGTTATTAGACATTGTTGGTTATTAAGTTTGTTGTTGTATTCATTTTTCATTTAAACACAGATGTTACTCCAGTTTCACATTTCCTGTGGACATCTTGATCTTGTTGAGTTTGTAAGATTGTGCAATAGTTAAGTAAACAAAGTTGATTCTGATAATCAAACTGTTTGTTCTCCTTTTTCCCCCAAATTGGAATCGAAAAAAGAATCGATAAAGAATCGAATCGTTTAATAGAATCGAAAAGGGAATCGGAATCGTGAAAATCTTTTCAATTCCCAACCCTAGCTACGACGACAACAATACTTTCTCTGAGGGAATCAAGTTGAAACTTTCACATAAGAACATTGTTCCAGGTGGCAGCATTGTGATGTTTAACAGCAGTAAGCACTTTCTGCAAGGCTGATGCAATTTCAAAACTGCACCATAATTCCTCCAAATTACCATCCAAAGTATGTAACATGACCTAAATAATGTTTAAAGTGCTCCATGCCTTCTTTCTTGATAAAGCTCATAGTTAGATTGGCTCAGGTAATCCTGAGCTATCTCTATAGTTATGCTGCTATAGGCTTAGACTGCTGGAAGACAAAGAGACCCCTTGTCATCATTCTGCTCCATTCCATCTCTGTTATCGCATTCTGCAGAATGTGTAAGTTCAATCTCTAACGTTATGCTCTCTCTGCTTTTTCTCATAGTAGCTTCATCTAGTCTGTTCGTGTTTGGCTGTGACACCATCCCGGAGACAAAATATCAGCTTTGTTGCTGCCATCAACACCTCTGTCAATAGATGTTGGAGTTTGCCCTGATTTTCAATGTAGTCCTGGTTCTCTAATTAACTGTAATGATCTGGTTTAATTGTCTCTATAAAGTGCCTTGAGACGACATATGTTGTGAATGGGTGCTATATAAATAAACTAAATTGAATTGAATTAAAAGAGAAGTCGCTTTGGGCAGCGAGATAGAGGAGCAATGCAATATCTATAAGAGCTACTCTGTAGCAAGCTAACTTTATCTATTGCTAGCTTCCATCACAACTCCTAAATACAATAAACCCATTTTTAAAATACCTTAAAGGTTAAAGATATTATCAAAATATTCTTTGATCAGTGACACCTCCACCTAACAGAATAAAAACCCTTTATTGTAGTGTTTTTAGTATAAATTAGAATAGCTGGAACTGCAAGCAACCTGGCACTAAAAGCAGCAATTATTATATGGAACTGTCAATAACGGAAAAGCCCAAAAAGTGTAGACCCTTAATAAACTGCTCTGATTTAGCAGAAATGGGGCATATCACTATTTAGTGCTGGTAATACCTCATGCTATCCCTAATTAATGCCAGCTTGCTTCCACTAGCGCTCGGACCGTAAACCCATTGTTAAATATGCTGCGACTAGTGACACCATCACAGCAGACGGTAGTCAGAACCGCGATTAGCAGAAGCCTAAAAATCAAGAACCGCTCAGTTTTTAGTATTTTTTTAAAATGTCTTGGCTTTTGCTTTAAAGCTTGGATGAACCTGATTTAAAATATACGAAAGAAATGTAAAGAAAAAAAAAACACTTTAATGGGAACCAGAACCAAAGAAAATTCTGCCTTAATAATGATGCAGATTCACTGTGTGATAGTATGCAAGGTCTATTAAAAATAATTTTACCTGCAGTGGATGACATAGAGGAGGAGGATCCAACTCCTGAAGTAGAGCTCAATGGATCCAAAGACAGAAGATCGTTGTTACTTAACCTATTAGAGCCGAGGCACAAAGAAACATAGTTTATTCCATTTATAACATGAACGATTAACACTTCTGAATCAGAAAGCATGATGCAAACAATGTAACTCTGATTCTGAACAGACAAAGGAATAAATCATGTTACACTCACTCGAATGGAGTTGACCCTCTGGGCTTTACAAGCTCATCATCTGCAGGGAAACATGAATAAACAGAAACGATTTATTTGCATATTTAAAGAGAACTGATTTACTGAATTTAGGAAATATATATATATTAGAGAAACTGGAACGATTTAATATTCCCTCACCTTGAACAACACATAAAAAAATAAACATGACCATACCACCACCTACCACTGAGAGTTAGAGAGACATAGTACAAGTCAAATGTTTGAACACAACCAGACATTAAGGTGGTACCAAACCTTTGACTGGTACTATTTGAGAAACTGTTCAGAACAAATAATTTCTGCCTTAGAAATTAAAAACCTACAAAACCAAATAATACAAAGATTAATAGACCAAGTTCTACTGGGTTTTTAATGTAGTGGAAGCTGTTTGGAAGAGGAGTTTTGGTTGGATTTAGCAACTAAAAACAACAATGCGAGTGCCCTCTTTTTTATTCTGAACCCATTTTAAGTACTACAACAAATCCTAAAGATCCCTTTAAGCAACCTGAGTAGATACAGCTCTAATTTACAGTTTACACACTCTCACTGTGGGCTTTTTCATGGGTGGAATGATTATACAACAAAAATTTAAGACTTGAGCCTATAATAAAGTGGATAGAGCTGTAAAAGTGTTGTTTTACACTGGAAAGACAGAATCAATAAGCTTTCAAACATCAACAATATACCAACTATTAAGCAAGGGGGTGGCAGCATCATGATATGGGTCGGTTTTGCCGTCAGTGGTTTTGTTGACTAATTCTAAGTTCTTTCAACTCACAATGAGCTTAAAATGTAACCAAAAAAAGAAAAAAATCCAACCAAAACTATGCCAGAAGCTTTTTCATGTTGTAAAGTCATTCCACCCTTGAAAAGTTACATTTTAAAGAGATCAGTGAAAGACCAAAACTGATCCGTGACGAGTGGATGCAAACGTCTGACTGGAACTGTACCTACACACCACAGGTAGAAGATCCACCTAAGAAAACCCAAATTTAAAGCCATTCAAGTGAGTTAATTGTCAAAATAGAAAACTTTAGGTTTGCAGTGAGATATAAAAAAAATATACATATATATTTATCAGTGATGTTAGCAGGAAGGGGGCGGGGTTTGTTTGGCTGCTGAAGCAGTGTGAAAGGCTCCATGGAGGAGACAGAGATGAGGGTTGTAGGGGGTTGGAGGGAGGCGGGGACGCTTGCCAGTAACTGTAGTTAAAACATACTCACCCTTAGCCTTAGACCTTAAGGTAGATACTCCTGTAAACCCTAAGCGATGCAGAGTTCACATCTTTGAATGCAATTTGTGCAAATTCATCAACTCTTCAAGTTTTTAACTGCAGCAAGTGAACACCTTTTTTATTTTGAAATATATATTGTTATCTTTTCTGAACATTTTAAAAACTTTATAAGACAAAGAAATGTAGAAGCTGTTTTTATATGGATGTTTGTAGGAGCTAAAAATACACAGGAAAAAAACATGAATATTTATAAAAATGGCTTATTATGATGCTACAAACTTGATTTAAATGCGTCAAACTCAACCAACTTGAAGAGAAGCGTGTTCATTGAATCTGTAGACATACGCATGTTTTTCCATCAATCCAGACCAAAGTCAATAATCCAACATGTCCTAATGTTTTCTTTCAGCCTGGTTGGAATTCGGACCTGACTTTGAACTTGCCACACAGAGCTTTGCGCTGCAGATGTCGAGGATTTAATGGGTCAAACAAAACAGTCCTGTTGCCTTGTCCTGTTGTACTATTTACAAGACATAGCACCTGTTTTTGTTCTTTTTTTCTATTTATTTCGGAAAATATTCTTCTGTATTCCAAATATTTGGTTGAATCTGACGTTGCTGATCTTTTTTAATTGTGTGCACACACAGTTTCCACGTCATTTACCAGAGACTAAGTCTGGAGGGATTTTGTTGAAACCTTTTGCTATAAAAGTACTTCACCTTTAAACAATGGCCATCATGCAGGATTCTTGTTCTCTATTCACAAAAAAACCAGAGCCATTTAGCCTATTTTTTTGTGCTTTATTTAAAAGGAGAAGTCTAAAGAACAACTCATGGCAATTTGTGTTGCCTTAAGTTTAGTGTAATCAAACTATTGTGTATATTCACAGAGCAGCGTTGCTCCTATATTTATGCGGTGCAGCTGTTTCTCTTTGTTTTATACATCTAAAAAGTTTAAATTCTTGCACCATTTTGCAAAAGATGAAAGATAAGTCTTGACTTGTCAAAACATCCAGCTGATTAAACAGTTAGTCTGATTTGTACCAGCAGGAGAAAAACATCCCTCATGCCTGACATTTATATAAGAAGGGAGCACTTATTTACTTTTTCTTGAGATATGTTGGTGTTGGCTTGATTTTCTGGAGTTTTTTTTTTTCTAGAAAAAAAAACTTATTTAACAGCAACCAGGGCCAACAAAACTGTAGCCACAGTTGTTCTTCTCATTCCAACAACACAAAGACTTAAAAAAAAAAAAAAAAGAAAAAAAAAGGGGGGGGGGGGGGGGGGGGTTTACTTACTGGACTGGTTCCTCCGCATTTGCCCCTAAAAAAGGAGAATATAAAAAAGTAAACATTAATATCAAAAGAAAGATAATAAAGTGTTGGTTTGCAAAAGTAATCATACCCTTTGAACTTGAAAACTGTGGTGCACATGTATATATCCGGGCATCTACAGGTGTGAGTCTTGGCGTTTATCTTTAACAGATTTGCACATCTACAAAATGAAATCTCTTCCCGTCCTTCTAAAGTCAACAGCTCAAACTCCCTCAGAATGGACAAATGCAGCGTGTTCCTTCACATTATGCCACATATGACCAATTTGATTTTGATCTAGGGCTTTAACTAGGCCAATCTAACACATGAACCCATCTACACTAGCTGTTTGTTCAGAGTCCTTCTATAGGCATTCGGGTTCGAATCCGGCCTGTGCCGCATGTCTTTCCCTCTCTCTCATACCCCCTTTCCTGTCAGCCTACTGTCAGAAAACGAGCCACTAGTGCCATAAAACCTAAAAAAAAATTAATAAATAAATAAAGAGAGAAATCTGACCACCTGCCTCAGAAGGCCTGCTTTGTATTTGTAAAAAGTGGACAACTACCAAAATTTAAAAATACATAGCTGTAACATGATAAATTTGGAAAAGTTTAATAGGGTATGAATACTTTAAGTCTTGTGCAGTTGTCGTTTGACAGAACATGAGAGAGAAGTGATCACTTCCCCACCTGGGAGAGCCAATGCTTTTTTTAAAAGCTGGTATGTTGTACTTTAAGGGTCACTGATTTGCTCTCAGGAGCCACTTGTTAAAGATAAAACTATTTATTTAAAATATTTTGTCCTTAAAATACTTATCGAGTTTCAGTATCATATATCAAGGCATAACACTTATAAAATAGGCTAAGGTTCTGAACGGCTGCATGAATTATTCCCTGGTGGCTGTGCTAAAGTTTCCACTTTGGCATTAAAGACAGTAAATCACAGGACTGCTCTGGACTCGCACATACCAGGCATTAAACCTAGGGTGAAGAATTCGGCAGCTCAAAACAGTGTGTTTAAGCCGGGACTACGATCAGTCGGGGACAATGGAGAGCGTGGCCGACACTTCGCCGGCTTCCCTCCCTGAGTCGTTTTTTTCCCCAGACATAAATCTGCCACGTCCTACAGATACGTGAGGTAGACTCTTGGGACCGACCAAACCAAGAGCAACTTCAGTTTCAATAAAAAACCCATTTCTTACAAGAAGAAAGGTTAGAGAAGCTGTCAGGGGAGGAGGGGAGAAGAAGAAACAAAAATGGGTTTAAGGAACACAGCAAAACGTTTAACCACCGTAGAGCTGCGAGGCCAGGGCTTAGTCCCACAGGCGCTAAGCGGCAAATGGGTTCAATTACAGCTCTTGTTGGCCACACAAACACACACACACTCTCTCCCGCGCTCACTCACACGACTTCCATCACTGTTTTAATAAAGGGAGCGCCACGGAGGGAGAAGCAAACAGGAGAAGAAATGAAAAGGACAGAAAAATGGGCAGTGAGGGGGAAAAGAAAACAAGAAAAAACAAAACAAAAACAGATCTCAATAATTCACGCCAGATGAAGCGACTGTGCGCACCACCTTGGATGAAAGTTTTTGCTTTAATACGAAATGTCTCTGTGTAACGGGAAGAAACCAGAAAAAGAGAAGAGAAAGACACAGCGAATGTGATAATAGTATTATTGTATCAATCAGCTGTATTTAAAAGTATTAATTTTTTTTTAAATACCAAAAAAATATTGTTGATAAAAAAATGCTTATTTTTAACGCTAAAATAGAAAATAATATACTGGAAAAAAATATATAAATATTTATAGAAAACACATATGCAAAAAATTTTTTTATAAAAAATCGTCCCGATCTTGGTTTGCTATGATGATCTTCCTATCAGGTTTATAATTCATAAGTTATCTAATGCTTTAACAAACCAAACTCTCCCCTTTTTCTGCACATGAACAGATCAGCCTACCTGGATGAACCGTTTTGACTTCATTATAACTCTATGGGTAGGAACAAATTCTTTGATGAATAAATTATCTGGTAGATTTCATAGTTACCTTTGAGTTCAAATTACTTCTTTAAAGAAGAAACTGAGAATCTGTTCTCTGTGTTACGCAATACATCTCTGGCCTTTTTGTCTCGATTGGCTCAGAGTGTTAGATCTGCAGGTACATGGGTGGAAAACATGGATTTGATTATTCCTTTTTGTTAAGGGCAATGAAAAAACGAACACCTTATTCCACAAATTCATCAACAAACAGAATTAATTGTAATATAAAGGCTTGGTTAACCATGTAATTCCTTTTAAGGTGGGATTGAAACTATTGATTCTTACAAGAAAGAACTCTTACAATTTTTAACATTAAAAACACATCAACCAAATCTGATGTACTTTACTGAAGTTTAATAAAAGCTAGATAAACATTTGCTTTGAATGATAGGCCTGATAATTAGCTTAAAATAACAGTCTGTATAAGAATTTTAGGTATATTTCCTTGGTCTTTGATGATTTGATTTTAAGGCAAATAAATAAGTAGAAATAATTGGTCAATATCAGCAGCTAAGACCTTAAAGACAACTGGCCAGAGCCTGATCCGTTCATCTCAAGCAAAAATCTTAATTCTCTGTTAAGTTTTCATAAAACCACAGCAGAGTTCTTTTTGAAGCAGGTGGCTATACACAAAACTGAAAAAAAGGAAAGCAAACAAATAGAAAGGAGAAAAAAAAACAGGTTAAGGAGGAGACGAAGACCTTAATTTAGTGATCCGTCAGTGACTGTTTGCTGCCCCACAACAACAAAAACAGCTCAGCGCACGCAGACAAACTAACACTTCCGCTGCAGTGTTTACAAACAAGCAGTGGCAGCTTTAAATTTTAATGACTCCAGCTATTTTCGTCGAGGAGCAGAGAGTAATTCAGAGACTGAGTTAAAGAAGAGGACAAGGAGCTGAATGAGGAGATGCCCGAGTGAAGTCATGGGTGGAACAAAGTGCATAAAAGCAGAGCTGAGTGAATGTTTGGGAGCACGAGGTAAAGGCCAACAATATCAGGAGTGAAACTGATCTCAAGTTCGTAGGAGTAAGAAAATAAAAAGGAGATGATTTACACTAAACCATATTCAGGGGAAAAACAAATCATGGACTAAGTGTGAACAGGTTATTTAGTAAATTGGAAGCAGATTTAATAAATAATGTAAGACGTATAACTTCTAACCTCGAACAAAATGCATTAGAAAAACCTGAACTGAGCTTAAATGCTATTCCCAGGCTCCCCAGCAGATTTTAGGTGTTCCCCTAATGCCCTCTAGTGTTACACAGGCAGAGCTGACCTCTGAAAACAAACATCAACAGGTTGGTTTCAGGCAGCGTTTAGTGTTGTTTTAGCATGTTTCTGTAAAGCATACCGAGGTCGAAGGCGACAGGATGATGTTTCCAATGGAGGCTTTGAGCTCATCGATGTTCGCTCGGGTCTGATGCGTGCCATTGTTAGGCTGGACGGGCTTGATCTGCACATGGAACTTCCTGGGCTCGTCTTCGTCCTCCGAATCGCTGGACGAATAGAAGGAATTGTCTTTGGGATGTGAGGAGATGTGTTAAGGAAAAATTAAGTCGTAAAATGAACTCTGCAGATCAAACCCGCAGCATTAATGTAGAATCAGGAGGCATAAAAAAGGATATCATTCTCATTCACTTCCGGTCTGATACAGAAGCCCTCAGCATCAACTTGGGGAACATTCTACAACAACACAAGAAATAAAAACAAAAATTAAAAAGGGTCCCTTCTATAATTAAACAATAAGTGTGAATAATCAATAAACCAATGCAAACTTTTGTTTTAACCAATAAAAACAGCTTTTTTTTTTCCCTACAATAGATAATTACTGTTTATTGAGCATTTTATTTAAAGAATCAAAAACCTCTTTAGTTGGCCAAAGTCTTCTTCTGAAATTTACTTTAGAAAAATATTGTGAGTGCTAAAAAAAAAAAAGTTGAGCTTTTAATTACTTATTTTATTCAGAGAGCTATATAAAATGTATCCTTAAAAAAATTTTACCAAAATTTTAAAGTGATTGTTTTTTCCTTCCTGCTCAACGAAAACGTAAGAATTTAGGGATTTTAAGCTGATTAGACAATTAATTTAGAAAGTACACCGTGTAACAAAATCTTTAACTCTGAAAAAAACTAAACTAAACTAAAAAACAAACAAAAAAATCATAAATCAATAAATCGTTTCTAACCTTTTTGATTTTTGCATATACAGTTGTAAAAATTTAAAAATTCTTACATTCTGGACGACAAAAATGGGCCTCCACTTATTTTTACTTAGTAAAAATTTTTACCCAATTTCTTGAAATTTCAAAATAAAAATTCTTTATAATTAAACATTCATGCATATGTAAAACGTTACCAATACAACCTTTTGAAATTTAGTAGGCAAGATTTACAGCGTTCAGTTTTTTTATAACTTTTTTAATAAAGGATCATAACTAAGTCAGGTCAAGTCGTATTTTCAAAAGTGTTATATTATACTATGGTATTATATGTGAGTAAAAGTGCAAAAGAACAAACCAAAAATAAGATAAAGAATGGCTAAATTTGTCTAAAGTGTGTTTGCTTAATTTGTTTATATTGAAAAAAAAAACTGTTAAGAATAAGGTTTTATTAAACAAATGGTTGAACCTCTACCCTAAAAATATCCAGTGAATCTCAAACATAAAGCCTTGATTTTGTAATGTAATCTTCTGTAAACGCAAAATGATTCAGTTTCTTAAATTGTGCATCAAATTTCAACAAGAAAATGTTGAAAACTCCAGATTATCTTGTAAAGATTTAGAATTATTTCTAAACTACAGCTGTTGCTTTTCTTATTCAAGCTAAACAAGTTTAAGCAAAAAATGTTATACAGAAGGCAAATAATCTGTATCAGCTTATAATTCTGAGTTTATGCAGGTGTTAAGTCTTTTAATGTAGAAGAATCATTAAGTAATGGCTCAAAGTTTCTTTAAACTATTATAATGATAAAAACTTTTTGAATTGTACTCCTACATAGGGTGACAAATTAAATGGATACACAAAAAAAAACAGATGATTATCCATATCATAGTGCTGGAACTTAATGTCTTGATTCATCCACAAAAACATTCATGAAACCAAAAAAAAAAAAAAAAGTAATATCTAAACATAAAACCCTCAGAGTATAAATCTTATTGACTTTTAAATAACATTTATTACCCATAAATACTCTATATATATATGGATTTTTTTATTAACTGGGAAAGCTTTTTGGGGATGTTTTCTATAATTCTGAAATGTATATCAAAATGTTATTAGCATATACATATATACTGTTACTGCATGATGGCTAGCAGGTGTAAGCTTTCTAGCTTCCTTACAGCATTCTGGATGTCTATGGAGCCAAAATATCCTGGAGGAGCACCATTGGCAGTGTTCTGTGCGTACAAACAGAGAAACGAATGAATGAATGAGCAAATGTACAAAACAAACAGGAGAGAACCGAGAAGGGGGGGGAAGAGGGAAGTGCAGAGTAACACATGGCAGAAGAAAAAGAACAATGGTCCGGTCCGCCTCCTGCAGTTTGACATCAAAATAACAGACGTCGCCGACATGAAACAGATCCAAAGGAAATTTAAGAAGATCAACCATGCAGCTAATGTCTGTTTTAATAAACTTTATACTCACAGCAGCTTCGACTTCTGTCGACTCCCTGGAAAACAAAAAACCCTCGTTGACATTAAATATAGTAAAAAAAAATAAACAAAACTGTGCTGTGAAGTTATGTCCAAACTCACGTAGAGTCTGTGTCCTTGTCTTTCCTTCTGCCTGGGATACCAAACGTTTTCCTCTTTCTTGGTTTGGCACCTTAAAACAAAACAAAGATTTTTAAGAAGCACAGAGTGAACTATATCTGTTCTTCCCCACATATTTTCTATTTTCCCCCCTCTTTTTTGCTTTAACTGAGTAACTTGGCAATGAAAATGAATGCTTAAATCCTCAAGGTAAAGCTCTACCTTCTGTTGCAATGGCTGTGTTGCATTCCTCAAATTCGATTGGTCCTAATGAGACAAAAAAAAAAAAAGATTTAGGTTCATTTGGCACAAGAAGGGTCAATGCCCACTACTGTGACTGCTATGAATGTACATCACGCAATAATCTCACACGCATCACTAACACACACAACATGAAGTGCAGCATGCCATGCAGAATGTGTACGCAAACAGAGCACGGCTGATCCCACAGGGCAGACAGGGTCAATAGCAAGAGTCAACTGTGCGTCTGGTGGCGCTCAGAGATGTCACAGTCCCTCCTGGTGACAAAGCATGACGCAACTCAACAGTTTTCCTTCGAGAGACACACACACACACACACACACACACACACACACACACACACACACACACACACACACACCTCCCCTTCTCCAAAACCCCAGTTTAATTCAAAAATACTCTATTTTTCCTGACGTGAAATAAAAGTCTTCCACCTGGAAGTTGACAGGATCAGAAATGAATTTGGGATGCCTCTCCACCAGAAAAAAAGAGTTACTAAATAAACCAAAGGTGCCCGCAAAACAATGTATGCTGCCTAAACACCTTCCTGCTGATTCACACTTTGACTGGGCCATTAAAACACATGAAATTGATTTAAACCGTTTGATTTCAGCTCTGTACTGCACATTATGAGTAGTGTTGCGCCGATGCCATTTTTTGGCCCCGATACTGATACCAGATACCTGGCCCCGATACCGATACCATAATAATATAAAATAATTGCCATCATGGCTTTGTCAAGCTGCTGCCTACCTTTGTGAAGCAGGAAAAAATCTAATACAAAGTGAATCCAGTAGAACTTTTTATTGCCTACCAGGAGTGGGTGACAATAGTTAAATAAACTTATGGCTCTCAAAATGGTATCGGTGCCCTATTTGTTGGTACTCGCCGATACCATCATTTTAGGGCAGTATCGGGGCCCCGTCCGATACTGGTATCGGTGCAACACTAATTATGAGCCAATTTTCTTTTGCAGTATCTCCCAGAATGGAATGCCCCAGTGTTTAGCTCTGTCCCTCTTTCCATTATCCCTGAAAAGCCTTTTTTTCAGGGTGGCTGTAGTGTACTGAGGGGACATGCATAGTTTACCTTCTATCATGCACAGTATCTGGCATTTTGGTCCAAAAGTTTATTTTTGGCTCCATCTGAGCTTTCACATGCTTGCTGCATCCCCTACCTGGATTAAAGCAAACTTCAAACACGACTCTCTGAGTGCACAACTGTTAGCTGCCCCGTTTGCAGACTTTTCCACCCGAGCTGTGGATATCTGCAGCTCCTCCATTAGCAATGGCCTTTTGGTTGCTTCGTAGCTGTTGCCTGACTAGTTGGTTCAGGTGGACGACCATGTCCTAGTAGGTCTGCTATTAAGTTATACTCTTTCCATTTATAAAAGGTGGATTGCAGTGTTGTATGGAAGATTTCAGGGACAAACTTCTCTGCCACTGAACCTCTGGTCTGTCTGGTGTTTTCCTTAAGTTCATAAATGGTGTTTGTTTTCTAACTCCAGATCTAACTTGAAAGGCTTCAATGTCAGCTTAATATTGTGTTAGAATGATCTGTTTCAAATCTAGACCAGTGATCCTCAACAGGCCAGAGATGCAGATCATTAACCAGGTATTTCTTTGAAGCGGTTGGTAAGTTTTACATTTTTTTAGCATATATTTTATTTTTTTTTATTCTGGTAATGCTGAACTTATTTTGAATATAACAAAATTAAGATATGTGAAGTAAATAATTCTAGGTTTACTTTATGGAAATATTTTTTTATTTTCTTTTTCGTTGCTTCTCAAAATCACAGGGCTTTTTAAATCCTGAATATAATTTTGACACTTGTTCACCAGGGTTATTTTTACTTTCCCTGAGGTTTGTTCCAAACATTATTCTATAGTATAAAATACCATAAAAATATTGTTGTCATTTGAGAAGAACATAAAGGTTCAAGGAATATGGCTGCTTTTTAAAGAGACCATGTAACAAAAAATAAAGACATGTCTAGCTAATAGCTAGTGTACAACCAGCCGTGAACCTTTTCTAGCAAAGAATAACACTTCTTTTGCTTACTTGGATAAATCAATCAGCAGATGAGAAAACTGCCAAAAACAACTAGGTTTACACTTGATTTGTTGCTCATCAATAATGCAAGTTTGCCCCTGTGGTGCTGCTCCTCCGTCGTCACGCTTCATGTGTCATTTCAGACAGATTCACTGAGGCTCTTCATGGGGCGGAGGCACAAAGGGCTCACACAGTTTTCACAAACAGAAAACCGGAGGCACGACACGCAATGTGGATACGGGTCAGTCAGGTAAAATCCAGAAGAATACTAGAGACTGTGCATCCAGATGTACAGTCTTCATCAACTACAGACACACAGATATGTTGCATGCTCTAGAAGATGAGCTGCAGTGGGTGACACAGGGAGTGATGGAGAGACAGGACGATGGGGCAGGACCCTCTGGCGTTTTTTTCTCTTTTTTTTCTGATACACTAACATGGCTTGACCTGAAAACAACAAAGCTAATGATATTTTAACTCAAAATGTATACAGCACTACGGGGCCGATGTGCTCTCCCCAGAAGAAGCCGGTAGCGAGCAGAATTGACGCATTGTCTGTCGTGCGCAGGGCCGAGTGAAGCGCAGGGGAGCAGTGAGTCACGAGAGGCACGCATCACGCCAAGTGAAGTGGATAAAGTACACCGATGACCGATTTACTCTACTGGGCAATGTCAGGCCCTTCTCATTGCTGGCAAGTACAACAGGGCAGCAACAGCTGACAGAGCAGGGTTAGCCTGATTGAAACAGACTCATTATGCACGCCTTCATTGTTTGGTCATAGGTTAAAATTTTCCCTTTTCTTTTAAGAGATAAACTGGCTTTCTTCTTACAAAGATACAAAAGGACCAAAGAGGATCTTAAAAGTGCAAGAATTTCTGCAAACTGTATGTTTCTGATCCAAGCGATGCCATTGTTGAGTCATCGAGCTGCTGGAACATCAACCTCCACCTCAGATTCAAGTCTTCTGCAGCCTAGAACTGGCTCTATTTCAGAATCTCTTTATCTACCTTCTCTCTGTAAAATATTCCCACAGCATGATGCTGCCACCACCTCATTCCCCCCCGATGCGCATGATGTAGTCAGGATATCATTTAATATTAGTATTTGGTCCCAAACTGCAGTCTACATGCAAGCTCAAAGTAATTAATTTCAATCTCATCCAACCAGATGACTTAATCAAAGCCCCTCAGCATGATTCTGCCACCACTGTGTATGCTGTTTATTTTCTGTCACACATCTAGGTTTTCGGGGAGGCAAAAAAGAAAAAAAATAGAAAAACAGGACTCATTACAGGCCAAGGTTTCATCCAACCTGAAATGTGGATCAGATTATGCACCCAACAGCAACACAAAATGATCAGAACAATATTTTGGTTGTCTCTTCGACCAGTGACGTCCTGTGTCTTAACAAGAGTATCAAATGTGATACCACAGGCGCGAGAACGACTGGAAAATCAATGTCAGGACCAGGCAGAGAAGGAACTCTTTTCTTTCTGACATCTGACAATATTTATGCACACATACGGCAAGGAAAGTCCAAACAGCACACGTAAATATTACCCAAATCTGGACAGACATTAGGAACTGTTTAAGCATCTCCAAACAGAGAGACAACTGTGTTTATACAGGGGAGGATGGGCCCTTTCTTTCTACTCTCTGTGAGGGAAGCATGCAGTCACGCATGAGTGGAAAATGGTTTTTAAATTGCATATGCTTCACATGGCACAGGGAGCAGGAGAGAAGGGCGGGGCGGGAGAGCTTGCGTGTCTGGCCCTCTGCCAGTTGACAGCTCAGCTGGATATCGTTGAACAGTACGATCCCCCCACCCCCACCCTCTCTGCCTCGCAGCGTGTCACTTTAGGATTGTTTCCGCAATAGAAAGTTTATTCAACCCCTCTCTCTCTCTGAAAAGGCCCAGGACTGGCCAACCGTTCAGCTATTTCGTCAGGGGACGGGGAGGTTATTTCTCTTGACAGGACCGGAGCTGCTGTGCAATCCCTAATGAACAGCTTGATATTGGAGGAATTTTCAGACCATTTTTTCAACCTCAATTAATTCCTCTGTCCAAACAAATGAGAGCCACCACTTGTTGGTGGAAGTGTTTGGACACAGCGGTCAGCGTTTATGTACACACAAACACGGCGGAGGTGAAGCCTCTGTGCCTGTGACCTGACGTAATGTAGTACAAGAATGGGAACGGGCAAGGTCATATTTATATCGGGAGACGGTTCAGAGACACAGTGAAATAATGTACAGGCACTACGCAAAAAAAGTGGAAGGTGACCGGCGAGCCAACGAAAAGCTACGAGTATTCCTTTGATTATCGTGGCATGGAGACGTTTACACAAGAGTCATTGTTGAACTCTGACCTGCTCAAAAAGTTGGTTATGCCTGCTTAACCTGTGAGTGTGTCACATGCTCACTGTAATGCCAAGCCGGCTTTCCTTTACAGCAGATTACTATGATTGCCTCTGATGGCCTGCTCTAATGTCTAATTGCCCCTCTCTATACACCCCTCCCATTAGGAAAAGGCAGGATCAGGCAGAAAACCTACAACACTGCACAGACATGGAGAAACTTTAGGTTCAAACCTTGCAGGAGCTTACCTGGCCTCTCTTTTCCTGTTCCTTTGCTCTCGGCCAGCTTTTGTATTAAGCTCTCTTCTGAAGTGTTCTCAATGTTCCTCACAAATTCCTTGTGCAGCTATAGAGAAAGAAAAAAACAAGCATTAAATGATGCCTTATTGAGGAAGCATGGGAAAACTGGTTCAGTAACAACGTTATGCACATCAACAGGAACATAGACAAAACCTTCCTATACCACAAATACTTTGCCTGACTTAAAATTAATGGCATAAGAATTATCAAACCCACACAAACAATGCCAAAGGTGTTTCCTAAAGGATCAAAGGAAGGATACTTTAGGACTTGCTCTATTCACCAACAAGGCAAATAGAGCCAAACATTTACATGTTATCCTATTTGAAAGGTGCGTTTAGGAGGAAATTAATAGTTGTCAATGTTTCCAGCTATGTGAATGACAGGAATTGACCGACTAGAGGGAAGGGACACTACGAATAGGTGCTAATGGACGTGCTAATAGACAGAAGCAACATTTTTTCTGGAGTTTAACGGTCTGGTATTTTCTTTCAAAGGTTGGCGTTGTGTTAACCAATCAGGAGCTGGATATGGTTGAGTTGAAACCTCATACTGAAGCTCACCAGAAAGTGATCCACACTCCGACAGGAGAGGTCCTGATATGAGGTCCTGGACAGATGTAGGCAACACTGAAACCATCATCCAGCCGCAGCTCCTGGAGCAGGTGATGATACTGGCAGGACAGTAACTAATCCATATCTCACCAATCTTACCATTTTCTCCTGGAATCTGGTCATTTTATGGTGGTTTATTTTTTAAGAAGCAAAAACAACCCTACTGCCAAAAGACGTGTTGCTACCAAGGATTTAAATGTATTTTCTATAATCTACTCAGTCTAATGTAATGAAATGCGATTACCAGTCCTCATTAGATAACATCTAGCAGCAGGAGGTCCACATAACTACTTTCTGGGCCAAATGCCCCCAACAGCACAGTTTTATATAAAACGTTAATAAAACATATCAATCTGAAGACAACAAAGCCAGTTTAATATTTTTTTCCATGACTGTATGTTGGAATCACAGTAGACCCACTGCTGTCCCCTCGGGGTTTTTTTTTTTTTAAATACAGCTATAGCTATATTTCTATTATCCTGACCCATTATGGTCTTATAGAACTGAGCTTTGGATCTTAATGGGGTAAAAATTAAAGAGAGAAGGTGCCTTTGGCTAGAAAAACGAACAAAGAACAAAACAGATTTTGTTTGTAGATATTCACAGATATTTCCTCTTTTATTTTTTTTCCTTTACATATGAGCAGATTCCATCTTGTTTCTTTTTTTGTGATTTATTTACACGTTTAGCATAAGCACACTTGATAGAAGGAGGCTTTTCTGTTTATTTTCATGCGCGGCCATACTGATCTTTGCAGTTAGAGCACTGTGTCAGAGGTTGTCTTTGTTACTGCCATGGATACCCTTTGGGCAGTCTCACACAAAGGTTAGTGTTTGTTTGCATGTGTGCTTTTAAGTTTAGTGAGGGGGAAGTGAAAGAGACGTGTACGCATCGAGATAAAGACGAGAGGCTGACTGTCGCATCTCAACAAACCATTTAGATGTGCGTGATACTCTAAGCGCAAGCGAGTGGCTTCTCCATCAAACCAAGACGCATTCAAACCAGTGTGTGTGTGTGTGTGTGTGTGTGTGTGTGTGTGCAGCTCCCCTATCCCCCCCTCCCCCCTCCCTTCCTCCTCCTGGGCCCCAGCGGTGAGGTGGAGTGCATTAGCCTTCTATGCCCCTGCCTACACTGCAAAAACAATCCAGAGATAAGTAAAAAATGGCTTAAATTAAGTATATTTAGCCTTAATTTGAGTTGATAAATAAGATGATTTGCCAATGGAATGAGTATTTTTACTCTTAAAATAAGATAGTTAGATAATATTTACTTGAAATAAGAGGATAAAATAGTTTTTTCTTATTTTAAAAGGAAATTGTCTTGTTCCATTGGCAAAGTGTCTTACTTACCTCCTCAAATCAAGGAAAAACACACTTATTTTAAGAAAAAATAACTTATTGAGATTTCTATTTTTTGCAGTGTAGTAGCAGAGGATGAAGGGGGGAGATGTTGGTGATGGGCGGTGCGGGTGCGGTGGGAAGGAGTTTGCCGTGGCGAGGAAGTGTGCTCGGTGCGGCACATGCAATCCGCCAGGTGCTGCTAGGATGGTTCATGTCGCTAACGTCCACAGCGTGTCTGCCCGGCTCTTCTCACACGTCGATGCAAACAAACAAACAAAAGGAACAAAACAAAAAAGCTCCTCCATGTCTACACTGAGACTTTCCCCCACAAGCTTGAAAACATGCGTCTGCCCCTGAGGTACCCTCGCTCACAGACAAACGCTCACTTATAAAAACAAACACAACACGCACAGCGGCGGACGCACCTGCTTCTACAGTGAGCCGCTTCATCGCTACCTCTTTCAGCATCCATTGCAACACACTTCTGACAACTCAAGAGCTTTAAAAAAAGGTCCTGCTCTTTCTCTCCTACATTGAGCATCCAGGCCTACAGAGCTAACCCCCCCGCCAAAAAAAGATGACTGATAAGAAGCTTACCAAGCGCAGTTACTTTGGTTTGGTTAAACGACTGCAGTCACTCGTCAATGACAGCTTAAGAACTCAAAGTAGCTTAGCATTAAACCCTGCTAATGGAGAATGATCAAACAAACACACAAACAAACAAACAGGCTTTGCGTGTGTCCCCGCTACACACACAACCCACAGTCACTCGGCCAGAAACTTTGCATCAGAGAAAAAGTCTTACCTATTTCCTTTTAAAACTCTGTTTTTTCAAAGTTTATTTACTGCCAAATCTTTTTGACATTTTTTCAACATATTAGAACCAGAAACGTCCGTGTTAATAATAGGATTAGAAACAGTTAATTGGAAGGAAAGAATTACAGCTGAAGAAAGGCATTCCCACAGCATGATGCTGCCGCTACCAGGTACATCCTTTATTGGCTGAAAAAGCAAAGTAGCAGCCATATGCTGTAAACAGAATGTAAAAAAACTGAAGTCGGTTGATCTTCAGCCAGAAACGGAGAACTAAAATACACCACTTGTGTCTGATCTGTTGTTTCTTTGGTTTGTTTGTTTGTTTTTTTTCCTGGTGCACGGGCGTCCCTTTACTCACCACCTGACTCACGAATATTAATGCAGGAGCATGTACTGGAATTCCTCCAGAAGAAACAAGCAGCCCTACAGCTCCATTTAGCCCCAAAATGTCTGCTGAATGTTTCTAGATGAACTTATATGATTATTTTTTTATCGGGTACAATTAAATAGCTTATCCTTAGCTAACTATATTTTCAGCAGTTGAAGAAATCTGGTACCAAAATAGTCTCTTTCATTTTTAATCTACTGTAGAGAAAGAAATGGTAAACAACAATAGACTGTCTTCATTTTTTAAAGGTTGGTAGTTTTAGGTTATTAAAAAACTGAAAAAGTGCAGGCACCTCTTTTCTTTATTTGGTGTTTTACTCTAAATAAATTAGTTTGGTTGTACTACTTTGAATGTAACATTAAAAAAAAGCCACAGCATGTTTGATAATGTTAGTGCTTTTATTTTTTTGGTCAGTCGGAAATAAACAAATAGACTAATCTTATAGGATTGCTTTAAATTCAGGTTTGCCATCCCAAGATTTTTAACAGCCTTGCTAGATATTTTGATACCACAGCCATTAATACATTGTAAAAATATGCTACCGATGAAACAAATATGACATTTCTATCGTACACGAAGTAGCTGGACATCTTAAAGGTTTAAATGAGATGTAAAAAAAAGAGAAAACTTTTGAATTGGGATGATTGGAAAATAGAGCTTCAATCAAATGTTTTTCCAAAAGTGATGTTCCCCCCTGAGGTCCTTGATTTCAGCACTAAAGGTAAAAACTGCGGCTGGTAGACGTCTTCTTTGGTTTAAGAAATATTATCGAATAATACAATACTTTATTTTAGTTGAATGTCCAGTTAAAGTGAAGTTCCTACAGAACAATGTATGGTTTAGGTATCCGTTTACAGGAAACATTCAGTAAATAAGGAAAGTTTAGGACAGAAAAAAAAAGATATTGTAAATGTTTCACTAAGCATTAGTTATTTTTTCTTTCACAGAAACTTTAATTATAGTTTTTATACAAAAATTAAAGGTCGGAGGATCAGAACTTCACAGAAACATAACAAAAATGATCTATTACAAGAAAAACAAAAACTAACTTATAATCAAATGACAAAACTAACAACCATTAACTTTATTATAAATAAATTAAAAATAACTACTGAAATGTCCACACATACTCTCACAATTAACAGCAAATAAATCATCTATCTTGGGCTGAGGGACCTGCCAGGTGAGATTTTATTTAAAGGTACGATGTCGCCCTCTACAGGCAATAAAAATAGAGCTGCTACAAACTAATGAAGGCAGGCCAGCAGAATGCAGTAAGTCCAAAGGTATTATCAACATTTAACTAAAATCGCTAAATAAACAAGAAAAGAAATTATCCAGATAATATCAAAAAGTGATTAAAGGAGCTCTGACTGAGATTTAAAAACCTTTCCAGCTGCACCTGATATCATTTCAAGCCTTTTTCCACAGAGGACGAGGCCAAAGCAGGACGTTCATCAATCAGACACAGTATCCGGTGAGCATTTGGTTTTTTTTACGAGACCTTGATGGTCTAAAACTTAAGATTTGATCAGCCCTCTAAAAGATGAATGGATCAATCTCCTTGTTTCCTGTTTAACTATTCCTTGCTAAAAGATCAAGTGGATCACTGAGTGGCTCAGAAACACTCACCTCTCCAATCTGAATGTGTGTTTCCTCCACTGATTGCGAGTATGACTGGATGATCTGCTTCATGTGGATAATGTGGTTTTCCTCAATGTCTTGGAATCTCTGTAACAAACATCAATAATCTATTGTTAAGGAGCGCCACTGCAACAAATCAAACCTCTTTAAAAAATAAAAGAAATTAAACGCATACCATCTATTTAACATCACATTATCGAGAAGACAAGGAGACAGAAAAACAAGAGCACAGAGAAGACAAAGAGGAAAATCTCCTTGCTTCTAATTTCCTTATGTGCGACTGTCTGGGTGGTCTGAGGCACATGTAAGTCCCTTCCACAAGATGTCAATTATGATCATGTTAGGCGCTGATGGGAATTCATTTTAGGCATTTTTACTGCAGCGCTGTAATGAGATCACAGGCTTAAAAGCTGCTATTGAAATCTGGGTTTTTGAGGTAAACTGAGAAGCATGAGCACAAAGATTCATGAGGAGGAAAATCCCACTGTTAAGGGGAGATTAGCTCTTAATAATCAGAAACCCCCCAGAAAGAGAGCCTCTTACATCTGGCTGTGGAATACGCCTACGGTGTAAAAGTATTCTTTTATAGTATTATATTAAGTTATATGTTACGTTTATTCTGTTAAAATCACAAACTTCTATGTTTAAACAAGGTTAAGCTGTACATTTTTGAAAGATATACGGTTTTCATGTTTTTTTCGTGGAGAAATGAAAATCTTAAAAGTGTGGAGTGGATTTAACACTTCAAGTCTTTTAGGGAAGTCCAATCTGGCTTTGCACATCTACAAACTAAAACATTGCCTGTTAATTTTTTTTGCTATAGATCAGTCAATTTTCCTATAGATTCTCACTCAGATTTATGTCTGGACTTTGACTGGGCCATTTTGACTCATGGCTGCACAGTGGGAAACATGTTTGGTGCTTTATTAAAGCCTGGCTAAACGGCGCTCTCATCAAGGACTGTGCACACTGCTACGTTTAGAACAATCCAGATGTGGTCTTTTCCCATAAATAAATCATTACTTTAAAAACAGAAGGGTAAGACAACCATAAATGTAAGGTATACATTTTACACATTAATTAAAGTCATATTTTTTACAGATTATATCCTTTAAAAAAATATCAAAGGTGGTTTACCTCCTTGTGGTTTTGAATAAGGCGAATTTGCTTGATAAGAAATTATGTTTTTGAAAGGGAAAACAGACATTTCTGGTGTGTGTAGAGCATTTCTTCTCTCCATCACTGCTTTTCCACTGAGTATTTCTGAAGAACACTTAGCAATAGAGCTGGGCGATATGGCGATATATATCGTGAGGACGAGAGAAACATGTCTATCGTGACCTTTCTCCTCTATTTTTTCTATCGTGATAAACTTTTTTATTATTATTATTACTGCTAATATACATTTTAATATAATTTGTTAATATAACATTTTGCGTTTTTGCTATGCAAACTCTAAGTGTATATAACGAAAAAAAAAGAGAATAAAAAGATAATGTGTAGAGAACGTGGTTTTGCGACACTACACCGCTTTACGTCACGCGGCTTTGCACCATACGTTTGCGACATTACTGACGGAGAGAGCCCGCGAAATTTCTTTCTGGCTTGAAAAAAAATGAATGATGGGACACCCAAGAAGATGTTACCACAGCAGCGGTTACAGAGTCCGAAACGGTTGCCAGGTCACAGACACAACAAACACCACTTTTGCCCAAAAGGGGAGGCAGCTCGGTTGTTTGGTTATATTTCGGATTTCAGCCATCTGATAAAGAACAAACGCAACCGATATGTAAACTGTGCAGCAAAGCCGTTCCAGCGGCTGATGTAAATACTTCCGGCCTCTTTTACCACCTGAAGAAAAATCATGAACAAGAACACGGGAAACTACAACCACTCCGATCAAAACAAACAAGGGATGAAAATACAGGAAGCACTGGAAAGAAATTCTCACAGCCGAAGCTTAAGGAAGCATTCGCCCAAGGATCACAATATGAGAAGACGTCTCAGCGACACAAGCAGATCACAGGTGCTATTTCACGCTATATCTGTAAAGGCATGGCCCCCGTTTACATAGTCGAGAAAGACAGCTTTCGGGACCTCGTCCGTACACTCGATCCCAGATATGTGATGCCTAGTCGAAAACATTTCAGTAAAGTGGAGCTGCCTGGCTTATATGCTAGTTGTTGGGCTGAAGTGGAGAGAGAGGTACGCAGTGGTGCGACGCATTATGCGTTGACTACGGACATGTGGATGAGTAGAGCAACACAGCCTTATATGAGTCTCACCATCCATTTCATCAAGGACTGGACCCTCCTAGTGGAAAACAAGGTAAGTGAAAGACAAGAGAAAAACCTGGCCTTGGAATTTTATAAAATGTCAATAACAAACAAATATTAAATGATTAATTACTGCAGCGCAATAGCCAAGATTCTATACTGTTCACTGTCATGGCCGCAAATTGCATAACTGGTGTTCTTGGTTGGGGTTGGGAATCTCATATTAGGAAACAAGATGATGGGTAAAAAATAGGCGATGAAAGATTTTTTTCAACCCTGTCCATCTGACGGACTATGAAAACATAAAATGCAACATCAGTTGTGGTATATCGTGATATATATCGTTATCGTGATATAAAATAATCCATATCGTGATATAGTTTTTTTTCCATATCGCCCAGCCCTACTTAGCAAGTGTCTGCATTAAGTACAAACAACTGCACTGCTTGTTCAGGCTTGTGCGACGTCCTCTGACTTGCATGACAACTCAAGGGCTGACCAAAGTCTTTAGACCTTCAAAACCAAGTAATTAGATCACCAATATCTAAAAGTCTGACCTGCTGATTCTGATTTGGCTACTATTTTTTTATAGGGTCACAAAACAGGTTTTAAACTCATTTTATTGAAGAACAAGGAATAATTATTTATAGGGGAGATGATGCTCCTTGCTTTAACATGCAAATGTAATTTTTTTCCCCTTTTGGGGTACTGTCTGATCCCTAAATACCTTTTCATTTATTTTTCCTGTTTAACCTTTAATTTAATCTGATGAAGTCCCACTGAGATCAAAAATCGAGTTTACATGCCTGTGACACCTTTACAGATCAGCTCAAATGACACTCATATAAACACTTCAAAATTTATGTCTTTTTAGAGTAGTTCTATTGCACCATATTTTTCCTTTAACTTGAATAATATTTCCATAAAGTATTGCTCCTCCTATTTGACTAATTTTTTGACCACCTGCCATGACCATCTTCCCTGAATGAAGAATAAGTACATTTTTACATAATTGCACCAGACAAGGACATGCAGTTGAGGTTCGACTTAAAATTGGCACTTATTTTATCTGTCAAAGCTTTGTTTTATCTTAATCTTACAAGAAAAGTATAAATTGTTACTGGAGATAGTTTATCCTTCTCTAGCATGCAGCAGATTACATAGTCTATTGGTTTCAAAGATTGTACAGGTGCTGGTCATAAAATTAGAATATCATGAAAAAGTAGATTGATTTCAGTAATTCCATTTAAAAAGTGAAACTTGTATATTATATTCATACATTACATACAAACTCATATATTTCAGATGTTTATTTTGTTTAATTTTGATGATTACAAATGACAACAAATGAAAATCTCAAATTCATCATATCAGAAAATTAGAATATTACTGAAGACCAATAAAAACAAAGGATTTATAGAAATGTTGGCCAACTGAAAAGTATGAACATGAAAAGTATGAGCATGTACAGCACTCAGTATTTAGTTGGGCCTCCTTTGGCCTGTATTACTGCAGCAATGCGGCGTGGCATGGAGTCGATCAGTCTGTGGCACTGCTCAGGTGTTATGATAGCCCAGGTTGCTCTAATAGTGGCTTTTAGCTCTTCTGAATTGTTGGGTCTGGTGTATTGCATCTTCTTCTTCACAATACCCCATAGATTTTCTATGGGGTTAAGGTCAGGAGAGTTTGCTGGCCAATTAAGAACAGGGATACCATGGTCCTTCAACCAGGTACTGGTAGCTTTGGCACTGTGTGCAGGTGCCAAGTCCTGTTGGAAAATGAAATCTGCATCTCCAAAAAGTTGCAGGAAGCATGAAGCATGAAGTGCTCTAAAACTTCCTGGTATGTGGCTGCGTTGACCCTGGACCTCAGAAAACACAATGGACCAACACCAGCAGATGACATGGCACCCCAAACCATCACTGACTGTGGAAACTTTACACTGGACTTCAAGCAACGTGGATGAAGTGCCTCTCTTCTTTTCCTCCAGACTCTGGGACCTTGATTTCCAAAGGAAATGCAAAATTTACTTTCATCAGAGAACATGACTTTGGACCACTCACCAGCAGTCCAGTCCTGTTTCTCTTTAGACGCTTCTGACGCTGTCTGTGGTTCAAGAGTGGCTTGACACAAGGAATGCGACAGCAGAAACCCATGTCTTTCATACGTCTGTGTGTGGTGGTTCTTGAAGCACTCACTCCAGCTGCAGTCCACTCTTTGTGAATCTCCCCCACATTTTTGAATGGGTTTTGTTTCACAATCCTCTCCAGGGTGCGGTTATCTCTCTTGCTTGTACACTTTTTTCGACCACATCTTTTCCTTCCCTTCGCCTCTCTATTAATGTGCTTGAACACTGAGCTCTGTGAACAGCCAGCCTCTTTAGCGATGACCTTTTGTGTCTTGCCCTCCTTGTGCAAGGTGTCGATGGTCGTCTTTTGGACAACTGTCAAGTCAGCAGTCTTCCCCATGATTGTGTAGCCTATAGAACTAGACTGAAAGACCATTTAAAGGCTTTTGCAGGTGGTTTGAGTTAATTAGCTGATTAGAGTGTGGCACCAGGGGCCATCAATTTTGAACCTTTTCACAATATTCTAATTTTCTGATATGATGAATTTGAGATTTTCATTTGTTGTCATTTGTAATCATCAAAATTAAACAAAATAAACATCTGAAATATATGAGTTTGTATGTAATGTATGAATATAATATACAAGTTTCACTTTTTAAATGGAATTACTGAAATCAATCTACTTTTTCATGATATTCTAATTTAATGACCAGCACCTGTATTGTTTTTGCCTGAGGAATTTTCCAATTAATGTTTCATTAGTACTTTATAACAAACTTTATATTTTGATGTGTCTGATTACATCAGTCAATTAAGAAAATTATGTTCTATGATGAGTTACTCAGTATTTCAGTAGCTTTCTTACCAATCACCTTTTTTAACTTTTACAGTTATTTACTGGAAGGCCATGTTTGACATGTTATACTCAAGTAAAAATACATTAAAGTATTGCTACTTTTTACTTAAATCTGATTTTTGGAGCTGCGTGGAAATAAAATGACACCATTGTGGACTTTATCTACTGATTTAATGCCTCTAAAAGAAACAGATTGGACCAAATTTTATTTAGTTTTTTTTTTAAAGGGGCAGAAACGCTCAACAGTTTTTTTTTTTTTAAAACCTTCCATCTCTACAGTTATGCACCACTAGGTTTTTTCTATTAACATAAGATTATTATAAAAACAAAACACACATAAGTTGGTGGTTCTACCATGCGAGAAAAAGATATGAAAAAAAAAAAGTTTAAAGGGGTACTAATACTTTTAAAATGCAGAAGTAAGGCTTTACTTCCGTCCAACACCAGCTAGTTCAGGCAGACAAACAGAACACACATGTAGAGCCCCAGTGATGTCAGAGAGCACATGTGCTTTGGTGTTTCTAATTATATATCCACATGTGCGGTGTGGGAGATGAGCCGTAGACGGTAATCCAAGGGAAGCAAGAGCCGCGACGCTGCTTCCTCTGCTATGGAGAGGAGGAGAAGAATATAAAAAAGGTGGGAGGTAACCCAAACCAGCTCTGGTGGCCGGGCTGAAGCTACATGAGGATAGTATGGAGGCCCAATTCTGTTGAGCTGATTTAAATTTGGAGTTTATCTAATCAGCCCCTCAGATGGATCCAATCAAGGTCTTTACACAATGATTCCGCTACGGAGGAAAAAACACAATCTGGAGTTGATACAGACCCCAAAACATGGAACAGACGAGCACCAGACAAACAGATTACACAATGAAGCATTGCATGCCACAAAGACAGACAATGACAAGAGTTTGTGAGGATATTTATCATTAAAGCACATGCATAGAGGGAGATTGATAAAAACCTGTGCTGTTTCTGTCATCTTCTGCTCAAACTCAGACTTGGCTGTAGCATATTTCTCCACGTATGACTTGTAGGTCTCTGTGGCTTTTTTGGCTTTAACTCCAGCCTGTAGAATGTAAACAAAAACAGATAAATGACTTACATTGCTTTCCGGATCAAGTCTCAGAATGAAAACTGATATCAACATCTAAGGGCAAGAAACAGCTCAGTGTTATGGTTTCTGTACAGACCATAATATCCAGACACTCTTCATTATGCTGTATTACTACACGGAGGATATATGGGAGTCTGTATGTGCAGAGTGACCTCACACCTTGTCCACATCTCTCTGGGTGGCCCCCTCTTTGCGGAGGCGCTCCTGCTCCACGGTTTTGGCATTGTAGTTCTCCTTGGACTTCTGGAGAGCCTGAGAGATAGACTGGATGTTCTGGACGGCTTCTAGGGTTGGTGCAACTTCTTCTTTTGTCTGAAACAACGTGTAAGCTCGTTAAGACATTAAAGAAGCAGCGAAGGGTCTATTACTCTAATGTTTGCATCAATAAAATACCTAAACACTCTAGTTTACCATAAGATCTTGTTAAAATAAGACACACCAGTCTTGTGAACACTGAAGAACTTTATATTATCATTAAAATCAAGCTTCCTATACAAGCTACAGGTCAAAATTTCACCGTTTTAGGGTGACAACAAAATGTTTAGGCTATTTTTTAGGGAAAAATGTACAAAGAGATTGATTTGATGGACGGAAGGTTGGATAATAAGTTCCAGACTTTTCAGGACTCCTGTTAAATCTTCTTCCAGCTTTTCCTTACACGTGTGAAACAGACCTCTATCACGGTACCGCAGGAAGTAATGAAATCTACACAGCAGCTGCCAAATATATACGCAACTCTGCCTGGTTCGGAACAGTCTGACTATATAACCTTCATGCAGAATGGTGGTTTCAAATAAAACTAAAATCAAAAAGACTGACGGCTTTTTTTCAGTTATTATATTCTTTGTTTCCCTGATGTTAATGTTGAATATAAAATAAATATTTATTCATTTTATTTTTATGTTCACAAAAAAAAAAAAAAAGGAAGAAGTTTGTAACCCTAAAGCTCAGTAGAGTCATGTTACATTGCAACAAATACCAAACCGTATCGATACCCAGGGAAATATTTTTGATACCTTTTTTGAGATCATGGGGGGAAAAAAAAGTAATATAATTAAAACTCATAAAAATATTGTTTAATAACATAAAAAACTCAAATTTTTTCTCAACAGAATCAGAGATTTAATCACTTAAAGAATAAATGCAAAATAAATAACTCAAATGTAGCAAAATTTTAGGGTTGTTTTATTCTTTTAATGTGCAAATAATCTAGAAATCTAAAGTTAACAATAGCAAAAATATGCAAACGACAGTTGTATTTAGTATTGATACCTTCCCAAATTAGTATTGTATCCGGATACAGTGTTTGAGTATTGATACTTTTGATTAACCCTTGATTGGAGAATTTTTGGACATCAACCTTAAGAGGACTTTGATCATTTTTATGTTACTATCATTACACCCAATAGTTAAAAACCTCTAAACAGAGCAGGAAGCCTTCTGTAATGACAGGAACAAGAGAAATCTTTGTTTAAAAATGTCAGAGAGCCTAATCATAATCATCCTGTCGACTGTATCATATCATAAAGACTAAAAGTTCTGTTCTGATAATAAAATCAAACAAAACACCCTACTGTTTTCTTTCTAAATATATGATTACGATTATTGCTATGATGATGTAAGACTTTGCTTCTGTTTGCTTAACTATATTTGTACCAAATAAGCTCTATCATTAACATCTTTAGGTTTATAGTATCTTTAAAAATAGGTCAGGGAGGGAATATGAGAATAAAATATTTTCTGTCACATAAAAACGCAAACTAGAGGTTCAGACCCTTTTATGAGTAAAAGCTGGAAACAATGCCATGCAGTTTATCTTAAAGACAATTCATTAGATTCAAATTATGAATAGAGGACATTCAATCTAGCATTAATCCAAGTGGGATTTCTTGAGACAACATCTCCTATGGCCATAAAAAGAACAGTTCATTCACATCTCCTCTATAAGAGGGTATTCGTCTTACTTTCTTATGTGCTTTGGCCTGTTCCTCCACATACTTCTGTACATCTTTTATCAGGTCTTGTAGCTTCTTCACTAGATCCATGTGTAAACCGGCCAGTTTCTCCGTGGAGCTTTTGAAGATATCCCACATTGGTGCAAATGTCCTGTTGGGTGGGAGAAAAAATGATAAGATTCTCCTTATTAAGAGTTCTCTTTCATTTCACTGGGTTAAAAAAGAGGCAGAAACTCACCCAAGCTGAGAGAAGTTCCCAGCTGACTTGGCAAGTTTGGTCATCGACCTGGCATAGGCCTCTTCAATGGTACTCCTATGGGGAGAAAAGAGGTATTTGCTTAAATATTCTGATATTTAAAATCCATATCAAATTCATAGCAATATGACTTTTGACTGAGCACATAAAATGGAGACACTGAGATATAAATATAAAAACTGATTTTCTGTGCAGGGAAATATCTGCATGTTAGAAAGCTAATTCTTGAATATTAGCTTTTCTTTCATTGAAAGGTATAGTGGAGGATTTTCGTGAATTTTTGAAAAGACCTGCCCTCTCCACTTATAAAAAAAATGCACATGCACAACCCCGTACCCGCTCCTGAGAGGGAACACCAATTAAACGCGTGCGAGAGCATGCACGAGCGCATTTCTCCTCGTGCATGCTCTGTTTTAAAGTTGCTGTTTGCATCGCTCATGCAAGATTTGTAATGTTTCCACTATGTCACCGCCAGTAAATGAAAATGGGAAAAGCACGTAGGACGGATTTACGTAAACATATCACTAGAATGGTTGACAATTAAGAGGACCACTTATTTTGATGATCCACACGGAAAAAAGAACATTGTCCACCATAACTTTAAGAAGACGCAACATAAGCTGTCAGCGCTACACTGCTCTGCTCCCAAGACCTTTTCTCCTTTTTTTTTGCATCATGGGCGCCAACTCTAAAGCATTTGATAGGGATGTAACAGATGAAAGCAAAATGAAACACAACTGTAAAATAAAAGGAATAGGATGAGTGGTTTTCAACAATTCTTTAATGACTGATATTTATTTGAATTCAATCCACCTACTCTTTTAAGCAAATAGATAATGAATATTATCCAGTATTTTATATATTATAGTTATATATAATATAACTATATTATATATACCTATTATCTATATATCTAGTTTTTAACCATCAAAATTTGAATTTAAAATAAAGCATTACTGACAAGAGGAGCTGGAAAGTAAGTCATCTGATAGGATTTGGGTTTATTTTAGATAAATAAACCAGAACTATCAGTAAAGTATTGCAGCAGTTAGATATTAGATGTAGTAAACCGTACACAGGAGGTGTAATATACTTCACCGTCCCTTTACATAATTACCTTTATTTACATTTTTGATGTTGTTTTCCCACATGTACCTTGCTGCTGTCTACACAGACTCCAAGATGATAAACCTCTGCTTCATTATCTTTTTCTATCTGGGTGTTAAAAACCAACCTGACAAATTTATTTATAGAAGAATTAATGATGAAGCACAAACGTAGTTAGACGTCTGTTCCACTAAAACTATTCAAGACGGACTTCATATTAGATGGTAGTATTTATTATGACAGTCTACTTGAACATTTCCAGTTACAAAAAATAAAAAGTTCATTTATTTTAAAAGATATTCAAAAACGTAAACAGATTTACCCTAAAATATATCAAAATTAGGAATATATTCAGACCTCATATGATCTTTTTTCAATTTGTCTTAAAAAAAAAACAAAAAGAAAAAAACACCCAAATGTAAAGACAGAGATAACTGCAGGTACAAAAATGATAATATCATCAGAGAGTTTTTTTTATTTTTCTAAGATTTATTTAATATATTTAAATTTGTTGGGGTTTTTTTTTTTTTTTTTTTTCAAATGTCTCTTCAGCAGATTGAGTTTTATGAATTGCTTTCATTTTCAGTTTTACAGATCTCATTCTCTTCATCAGTAAAATGTTATTTATCAGTCCTTTCAGAAAGTTATATACATATATAGTTTAGATTCTCACACATGGAATAAAACTACTTCGTTTTATCCTTAAAACATTGTGAGAAAGTTGACTACAGTAAACTCCTAGTATCACAACCAAACATCTAAATACACAAAACACAACAAGAAGTTAAGATTTCCTGAGCTTCCAAATGATTTTTTTTTTTTTTTCGGGGTCACTATGCGCCACAATTATAGAGAAGATTGCTGACTGGACTGATGTCCAGAACAAAGTCTACCACTACCTTCAAAGGGACTGAAGGTTTGGTTCTTCACAGATGGCTATTCATATTTATGGAAAGGTTATTGGAGGGAAATAGTGTGGCAGCAATGGGGAAAACTGCAACCTGCAACCAAAATCTGCAAAAAATAGAGTTGGGGAGTTTCCGACTGAGTGAACTAAGTCTAGCCGAAGTTCATCATAGATGTGTACTCACAGAGTGTATTAAACATGGGCTACAAATATCATATTCCTCGTATAAAAGCACCTCAGAAGAATCAAAACTTGTTGAAGGAGGAAAAGAGCATGACAGTCATTTAGCGGCCTAAAGTTTTATCCATAAATGTATAGATCTCTAATCTTCACAAGCCTGATGTTCTGATAAAAAAAATATTAATTCTTTACTGATAATATGTATTAGTCCAATTTTCCATGGCAGTGAATTTTGCCTTGTCATTGTTTGAATGCTATTGTTATCAAAATTACTTTCAAAAAGTGCTTCAAATAATTTTCCCTAAATAGCACCTTAATTTCACTTAATGAATTGAAACTCTTTTTTAGCGATATTCTGATTTTTTTTTTTTTTATTTACAAGTGTAACCACTCAAAATGAATTATAAGCCAAAATAATGTTAAATGTTGCTCTTTAAAATAAAAGGATTTAGCAAATTGGAAAGTTTAAAAAAGTTAACAAAAAAGATGAATTTTTAGTCTGGAGTTTAATTAAAATGATATATATATATATATATAATATATATATATATATATATATATATATATATATATATATATATATATATATATATATATATATATATATATATATATATATATATATATATATATATATATAAATATAAAGGAAATTACATAATATAACATTGCGTACCAGAGAAATTTACAACACATTATGCAACAACCATTTGGAGGCTTTTAAAAGCCAATATGTAAATAAATAGAGAATGAGGATTTGAATAAGTTTTCCCCAGGAGACAATATACCAGGAGTGTCCAGTTGAATGTGTCGCCTTAGAGTAGAAACAGAAAGAAAAAACTCTCTATTGTCTATTGTCTTTAGCTCAAATGAGATTAGAGAAAATTATAAATAATATCTGAAGGGCCTTCTAAAAATGTTCAGGTTTATCTTGACAATGAATTACAGTCAAGGACAGAAAGATGCTGCCATTTTATCCCCACTAGAGGGAGCCATAGTGCAGTTTATTAAACATGATCTTTGCTGCTTGAGCAAACTCAACCATTTGTAAGTAAAATAAGATTAAAATCATGCTTATTTCAGAGTGCCAATGCTTAAATCTGAAGGTCTTATAAATAGAGATTGGATTTGGTAATAAATAACTATTAAGAAACGCCAAAGGGAAAGTATTAAAGAAGCTTCTATCTAGGTAGAAAACTTTAATTCAGGGAATCACCTGATTATTAGGAAGTGTTAACCAAAGAACTTACAGCCTCCTGTCAATTATTGTTTAATGAATACCTGCCAGGTGAGGTGTGGTATTAAAGAACAATAGGTGAAGCAAATTTATTTTTCAGTAAAGGCTCTCACACAGCAAGCACTACACACATAAAGAGAGAAGAGACAGGAATTTATAGACCAAATGACTTCAACCTCAAGTTGAGATACTTTGCCAGCAAAACCTCAAATTAGTATTGGAACATTCAACCAAAATACTTAGCAAAAATGAAAGGAATATGAAAAAAATAAACTACAGGGAAAAAAGAATAAACCTGAAACCAGTAAATGATGGGATGATACCACAGATAAGTTTGAACAAGGTGATATTAGCTGTGAGAGAAATTTTAGCATCTGGACTAACCCTGCTCCATTTCAAAATCTCTAGGGAATCCTATAATCAAAGCATGGAAAAAAAAAGTCATTTTTAATATAATTTACCTCTAAACATTTCCAGGATTAAAGGACTAATGTCTCATCATGATCTGGAAAAACTAATCCATGCGTTTATTATTAGTTGAATTGATTACTGCAATGGTGTTTTCACAGGTCTGCCTAAAATGTGGATCAGACAGCTGTAGCTGATCCAGAACGCTGCTGCCCATGTCCTCACTAAGACTAAGAAAGTAGAGCACATCACCCCAGTTCTAAAGTCCTTACACCGGCTACCTGTATCTAAGAGAATAGACATTAAAATACTTCTGTTATTCTATAAATCTCTGAATGGCTTAGCACCTAAATACATCACAGACTTGCTCTCAGTGTATCAACCCTCCAGACCACTCAGGTCTTCTGGCTCCAGCCTGCTCTGCATACCTAGAACCAGAACTAAACATGAAGAAGCAGCATTTAGTTCCTATGCTCCACATATCTGGAACAAAGTTCCAGAAAACTGTAAAAGTGCGGAAAGCTTGAGTTCCTTTAAATCAAGAATATAAACACACTGTTCTAGTTAAACAGTTCAACTAAAACATCATTAGTTCAACTTTTTTATTTTCTTTAGTCCAACAGTTTATAATGTTCTTATTTTTTTGTTTCTGCATTTTTTTATTTTATTTATTTCCTACTTGCTTTGATTATTTTTTATTTTCCTATATTTTAATCATGTAAAGCACTTTGCATTGTCTTTGTACTAAATTATGCTATACAAATAAATTTGCCTAAACCACTACATGAAATACGCAATGGCAGATTTTTGTCCTTTAAAGAACCTTAAAATGAGAAATTCTTTCCTAAATCATATTTTCCGTGCGATTCCATTAAAAATGATCAGCATTTTAAGACTGGGCAGGAACTCCATCATTTCAAAATTACAGTTGTTCAGTCATCTTAGTGGAGCACATTGCATTCCTTAAATTGCAGTAGTGTCTGGATTACTCAGCGCAATCTTCCACGACAGACGGACGGGAGGATTTCCTGACGTTAAACCAGGTGTCAGACGAGTTCTACACCTACACCCTCTAGAAGGCAAAGGGAATCTCTGAAAATGGGAAGGATGTAAAAGGAACCTCTCATTTTACCATTAGGGATGTGCAGCGAACTGATGGCTGCCGGCTAGACTTGTGTCTTTATTACTGAGCTTTACTCAAAAGGTAAAGAAAGCATTGTTGATAGAAGTCTTGTTGAATAGTTTGCATCAAATAATTTCAAAAAGGACAAAAATAGAGCACTAAAATACATAAAACTGAACTAACGGCACTAAAACTGGAAGAACGGCATAGATAGCTGTAGGTGTATCAGTTTACTCAAACTGCTGGTCTTACCTTTCTCTGATGAAGTCTGTCAGCTCCTTGGAGGAAATCTGCCCATGTTTCATGTTATGGTAGAGCACATCAAAGCCATTGTTCTTTTCTCCCTGCATTGCAGACACAAACACACAAAAACAAACAAACCCAGCATTAGATCTTGGGAAAAGGTAAAGAGAGACACAAAACCACTGTTTGCAGATGATACGTTACCATAAGCAGGTTTTCCACCACCAACCTCCTCATTGCCTGCATCGCTTCTAGCTGTGTTTGCAAAACCTTCTGGTCAATCATACTCATCTTAGCCATGTTTGAGAGTTTTAAACTTTAACAAACTGCAGCAGGCAGGTTTAAAGCTACGGTGTGTTTGTTGTTCCCATTCACTGGGTAACGGTGTCATGTTGCACTGCTGCTTTAAAGCAGGCAAAAAGGGACTTATAAATTATAGATCTAAAATGTCGCTGAGGATAGAGTGACAAACTTGTTTATACTGTCTGCTTTTAGTATACTTTCAAATTTATCCCATTTAAATTATCTTAAAATCTTATTACTTTACAATATAAATCGAAAGTACTCATACCAATTTTCTTTTCTTTGGTCTTAACTCATGTGTTTTTATGGTTAGACTTCTTCAATCTGAATTAAAAGTGTTTTATAAATTAAGTTTGATTTAAAAAATATTTATTGTCATAGAATTACTGAGCAAGCTAATTACTAGTAATAATGATTGTAGGGCTGTTATTAGTAGATTTTAGTACATGTTTATGTGTAAGCTTAAAATATATATATTTCACTATATCTTATTTCATCAATGTGACTTCTATGAAGCAGAAAAGGCTGACAGAGGAAAACTAAACATTTTAAGATTTAAAATGTTGATTTGGTCCAAAATGATCTTTTTGTGAAGAAGCTGAAACCTAAACAACAGTTTCTAAAGGTAACATTTGAACGTACACACATTAACAGAAGAACTCCGCCTAGATTTAGCATGCACTCACCAACTTAACAAGAGAAAACCTGTTTTATGATCTAGACAATCAATTAGTCATAGTTAAACAGACATGAAGCAAGCAATCAATAGGCAGCTGCTTTGCGGACTACTTTGTGTGCAAAGATACTTGGCAGGAAAAAAAAAAAAAAACAGAGTGTGACAATCAAGCAAAGTTTGGATTTTTTTTTTTGCAGTATAGCAAGTTGTGCAGTTATTCCCCAATCCTTCATTTCCCTACAGTTTATTTGAGCAGGTAAAAACCTGAGATCAATCTCTTTTTAAAAGGGGACCTGTTAATTCAGCAGCCAATGCAAATCCATGGCACTGACAGCCAACGAGAAAAGGAGCCAGGGACCAGGCAAAAGACAGCAATATGAACATAAATGCAGTGGGAATAATCCAAAGCATCACCTATCTAAATGTAAGACAACAAAAAAAAACTAAATACACAAGAGAGATACTCAGATGTTAAAACTACGAGTGATATAAGACTAAAATGGGGTAACTTATTGAAATAAAGCACAGTTCATACATACTGAATGAACATTTCTTCATTGACCAAATCAGTTTTTACCATATGTTCAGTGCTATATTCATATTCTGGCCCAAACACCATATTGTTACTTGTTGGAATAGAAATAGCAACACTTTTAATGTAAAATCAACAAGTAAAGCCATTTTTTAAAATGTATGGCCCATGCTTATTTAAGCTAGTGGAGAATGAAACATTTACAAATCCTATAAGAATAAATAAAATGGACTTACATACTCGGAAACTTAGGATAAAACAATTTATTTACGTCCCAAAGGAGAACTCTGTGTTAGAAGGGCATCCAAATAACATTATCCTCACTATGGAGGGACTAGAAAGTCACCAAAAAAGAAAAGCCTTTTCAAATATAACATTTAAATAATGTAATTTGAAATCCAATTTGAAAAGCATTTTGTAATTATATATAGAATTACATTATTATTGAATTATTAGAGAAATTGTACATTTTATTTATTAATCCATTATAAAATACTGGAATTAGTAAACATAAATTTGATTCTAAATACCTTTCCTAACCATACATTTAAAAAATGTATTCAATTTTTTTCCCTTTTAACATCCATTTTAAAAAATACTTTTTCTTTCTGTTTTACCTGCTCCATTTACCTCTTCTGGTCTCTGATAATACTGAAAACCAGTTAAATCAATCACAATTGCTCCTCAGATGTAACTGGCCCCTTTCATTGGCTGGTTACTGGAGGGTTGTCTGTTCAAGCCCCGCCTTTCAGTGTCCTTGTGACACTTCACCCTCATTGCTTAGTGATGGTGGTCAGAGGGCGTGGTGGAGTGTGCAGTGTAATGTAGCTTGCCACCATCAGTGTGTGAATGCATGCGTGAATGGGTGAATGACTGAATGTAGTGTAAAGAGCTTTTCTTTTGACTTGATAAAGCTCCTTATAAGTACATTTATTATTCACCATAAAGAAATCCAACAAGATACAGAGGTTAACCTGCACTGTAAAAAATCTGTTAAAAAAAACAAAACAAAAAAAACAAAAAAAAAACAGAAAAGGTCCTGGTAATTTTTTGCCAGTACCTTTTCAGATTTTTTTTTTAAGGATTTTTCTGTAAAAAGAAAAAAAAAATCAGTAGAAGAAAAAAAAAAAAAAGACAATTTTTCATAGCTGAGCAGTCCAACTTTTATTCTTAACTTCAGCAAGAATTGATTAATTATGTAAGAATGTTTCTTTAAAAATATACCATATATAAACCAGTTTTAGATGAGAATTCATAAAACACAATCTATACGTTTTAAGATGTTAATATTTTGATTTTAAAAAAAGCAATTAGAAAAAATATGTAATGAAAAAACAATCTCCAGTAGCTTTTTACACCTTGACCATACATGTATACATGAATGGCTACACAATACTATCTTATGTATTGCTTTTAGCAAGCACTATGTATGGGCGTACATTGTACATTGGAAAAAGGATTTAGAAATAAGTAAGAATTTCTTAAATTAAGTGTATTTACCCTCAATTTGAATAGGGGAATGAGATGGTTTGCCAATGGAATAAGTATTTTTACTCTTAAAATAAGATAATTCGATAATATACATTTGAAATAAGACAATGTGATTATTTTTTCTTATTTTAAATCTAAATTGACTTGTCCCAAGGGCAAAATGTCTCTTTTATCTTCTCAATTCAAGAACAAATGCACTTATTTTAAGAAAATATGACTTATCTAGATTTCAATTTTTTGCAGTGTACGCCCTTTGCTAAATATATGACAAATTGTACACCCTGTTTTGGGGAGGTACAGCTTTGGTACACCCTAATTTTCCCCCGGAAACTTTGTTCAAATGTTCAAAATTTCACAAAATTGCTACTCGATGCACCATATCAACCAATCAGAGAAACTGATCTGGGAGCTGGCAGGGAGACAGACACAGCGCCGCTGATGCAGAGCATTATGGTCACTCCACTGAAACTGTTTATTGCCTAAATAAACAGGCCTTTACTGGCCAAATCAACTTAAAATGTCGAAAACCTGCTGGCAAAATGTTTGCTTTTATCATTCTGGTTCGCAGAGGCGCACCTTGTCAACAGGCAAACCAAGCAACTGCTTGGAGCCCCAAGCCGCTGGGGGGCCCCCGAGAGCCAGCTACTGTACACCCGGTAGATAAACAGCAACAGGCGAGCATGAAGTGGCAACACTATAGTAACTGAGGAGATGCACAACTGCATATAAAAATTCAGATTGGATGGAATGTTGATTGACATTGGCTTTGCCCAGTCAAAATCCAGCCCAGCCCAGATGGATGACTTCCCTTAATGAAAATGAACGTAGCCTAGCGAATGGGTGACGTTGTAGGCCTATCGTTCAGTAAATTGGAAAGCAATTATGTAACTAAGCTGAAGGAAAATGATTCATTTTCCTTGTCTCAAGAGAGACTTTCAGGACTGGCGCTTATTTCCATAGAGTATAGTGTGTGAAGGTCTTTGGATCTGGAGGACTTATGTCTGCATTTGCACAAGCCAAGGCCTGTAAGCAGCAATTCTGGAAGCAGTATAGGACCCCAATAATTTCACTACACTTCCTTTATATTTTGTACAAAGTTTATATTGGGTTTTTAAAGTAATTTACTGTTTTTTTTATTTTATTATACATTTATTTTAATTAATTAGTTTATTCTTTACTTTTATTCTTTTATATTTTCCAAAATAACAAGGTTGTTCATGTTTAGAACATTTGGAATAAAAAAAAGGTTTTATTTAATACATTTTTCATTGGTGTCAGATTATTTATAGCCTAACATAATGGTGATGAACACTTGTCAGTAGGGCCCCCTAGGATTTTTTGCTTGGGGCCCCCACAGACTCTAGAATCGCCTCTGCTGTGGTGTGTACAGTTTTTACCATACAACTGAGAAACGTCAACATCTACTTCTAGCTGCCATGAATAGTAAAGGAAAATCCCCAAGTGGCGACCAGGCCTGAGGCAGCTGCTGTTGGGGATTGCCAGTGACAGAGCGCCATCTGTATGTGGGGATCTGAGTGGCTACATCTGCAAAATAATACTTTAAGGCAGGATAGTAATCTTGATGAACTGACTGCACAGGCAATGTTTTGAGGTGGACTTTCTCACTTAAAAATCTATTAAAACAAATTTTTACCATCTTATCTCAGCAAATATAGCAAAGCTGCTTTGAACCATTGAACACAGGAGCAGCAGAAGCATCAGACGGATCTGTACATACTTTACTTGACGCGTGTCAAGATGCACTTGACACACACGTCTGACACAGCAGGTGTTTTTTTGCTGCACAGATTGCAGTCTGAACGTAACATTAAAATTTCTGATTGTTTGAATTAACCTATGAATCATAATATTGTACCTATAAGGATCTCATGTCTTCCTTATTGAAATTTCCACCTCCAGTGAAGCTTGCATAATCAGGACAAAAGTAGTGTTGTAACAAAGACAAAACGTTCACTGCATTCCACCTCAAAACACAGAAAATAGCCTTTCAGAGAGTTTAAAATAAAACATTTTCCGGGAGCGCCCCTGGACCCCCCTACGCCGTGCAAAGCCTAAAGATATTAAATATTCCTAGCTGA